ATATACTCAGTCACTTTCACTACAACTAGTTGAGCTGTCGTTGTTTAGATTATTTATTATTGGATTTTCAATAATGTATCAAAATTAATGTTCTTTCAAAGTCATCCATAATAATTTTCTGTGTATTCTCCACCACTTTTGCCCAATTATTCTGTGTGACATGGGTATATGCTTCATTCAGCAAACCTTCCATTTTCTTTACGACGAAATGGAAATATCTTATGCTTTATAAGATATTTCCATTTCGTGTGTGTTTAAGTATAGTTAATAATATGTTTGCATTAAGAGCATTTCATATAGGAACTAGTCTTTGATTTGGGCCAAAATCAATTCAATAGCATTACAATAGCAGTGGTATGGTGGTAGTCTTGTGATATTCGCAGGAATATTTTGTAAAATGGTTGCAAACTACTCTTTTCTACCGATTTCAAAAAAGAGATGGTACTCAATTCGACTGTATGTTCTTTTTAGGGTTCCGTACCTCAAAAGGAAAAAACGGAAGCCTTATAGGATCACTTTCTTGTCCGTCTGTCTGTCTGTCCGTCTGTCAAGACCCTTTTTCTCAGGAACGCGTGGAGTTATCAAGCTGAAATTCATATCATATACTCAAGTTTACTGTCCCTTGGAGCGGTGAAAAAGTCAAACTTCTAAGCCAACGCAATCAAAAGATACAGCCGTTTATGCCGCAAATTTTCGACATTCACAAGGGAATCAAAACCTACAGGGTACTTCCCGTGAACTTAGAATCTTAAAATTTGGTACGAAGCAACGTATTATATCACAAATAAAGAAAAAATTGCAAAAAGCATAAATTTTTCGTTACATCATATAATAAAAATATTTTTAATAATTTTAAACTTATATACCTACGGATTTGTTCGGAACCCTCGGTGCGCGAGTCTGACTCGCACTTGGTCGGTTTTTTCTTTTGGAACGAAGTTCCTTATTGGACCGTACGTATTTGGCGGATGGGGGCTAGGCGAAAAAAAGTGTAAGATTTTTGCGTCACTGTCCCTTCTGACGTAGTGCAGACCCCTCACGCTTTTTCTTATCTTGTCATAAAAGAGATATTATTTTATTATAAATGACGCTTCATTTTAATAGATGCTAGTAATTCACTTATTTGTATTTGTTAATCAATAATATAATACGTTTATAAATAATAAAATACCACGAAATTTGAAGTCGGTTGTACAATATTTTTAATTTTAAAATATAATTATTCTGCATCCATTTTCTCATCGTATTCTCTTGTACTCTTCGATTGATTTAAGTTGGAGGAAGATTTGTAGAAAATTGTTTATTCTACTAAACTTCTCTAATAAAAAAAAATCTCTAATAAACAATTTTCTACAAATCTTCCTCCATCGGATCCCGCATCACCTTTTCCCATGGGTACCTTCGAGCAAAAAGCTGCAGTGTCATCGTTTCATCAACGTATATGACGCTGTTCCAATTGGATATATTTTTCATTTCTCTTAAAAAAAAATTATATTATTAATGAGGCTATGTTATGTCTCTCCATATATGTAATTATTTTGCGTTTGTCATTTTTTATATTGGAAGCCCAAATGCGTTTTAAAATGGTTCTCAAAGACTACCATTGTATAAACCGCCATCTACTAAACTTTCTTGCTACTAAGCCGCAGTAGGATATTCTTATTTAGATAATATCATAAATAGTAATATGAGATATTATTGTTTATAGTATTCCTATGTATATAACTTGTCAAGGTAAATGAATATAATAAAATCAATCCAAAAAGTTATAGCCGAGTCACAAAATAAGGTAAACACAAAATCACAAAAGTACGTACAGTAATCTTCCAAAATGGCGAGAGATTGGAATTACGTAGTGTTTTTTCAGCGTGGCTTTGCATATGAGTTTCTTTGCCTACACATGTTTACACTGACAAAGTAGGAAGTTATAAAATAAATAAACTTGTTTTATTCGTGATTCATATAATTTAAGCCATTTTAAAAATAAAATTTAAATAAACAAATAATAAATTAAATAATTTCAAGATTCGATTAATTGAACATTTTTACCGATTATTTGAATATTTTTATCGATTGTTCGCATAACAATGAATTTTAATCATTCAAACACTACAGTAAGGTACATAGCGATATATCATTGAAACAACGTCAGGAAAAAAATTGACTCTCGTTATTTTTATATTTATATATTTTGCTTTTTCTCAAAGATTCGAACTTGAATTAGTGATAAAGAACTATACATGTTGTAATGAAATATAGATAACTACATAATTCTTTGGATTTACGTAAAAGGTTATTTTCAATCTTGTGAGTACTATGCTTATATACAAAGTTATTGCGGAATGATTAATGTGAAACGTAGAAAACGTATTTCTTAGATTTGGTTATGGAGTGTAGAGTACAAGAAGAACCATCTTATAAGGGGCGAAAGTTGAAAAAGTATCCTACTATTTATTGAAAATAGAGGTTCCAAAACCTACCATAATAGCACTGGCGTCTGAAAAACTACGATATGAAGATAGCTGTTGTGAACGGAGTGAAGTCAGTTGAATTCAAATATTTAAAAAAATTCATGACTATATTAGTAAAATGCCAGTATTCAAAATCTCAACTATTTACGTAATACAAAACCAAACGGATTGGTCGGTCTTTGTTTATTTCTCCATCTTATTCCAATTACTTTTGGCGCTTTTTTTTTAAATTGATCCTATGCTACTCCAGCGCTACCCTTATTGGACGCGTTTTTAGGGACACTTTTCTTATATAGAGATGGTCCTCCTTGTTTTCTACACTCCATAGATTTCGTTGAGTATACATATTTAATTGACATGTTCATGTCGCATACTTTTAATTCTGAAAAGGAATATTTACAGTGCAAATTAGTGACGTGTATATGATGTGCCAAATGAACTTGCAATCCACATGATGGTATGTAGCAGATGCAGCCTATAAGCATGATATGCAACCAACTTCAACAAACAAAGAAAGGCTACAGGCTGTTGCATTGTCACTTATGAGAACGACGATGGAATGCCTCATAAGTTACCGCTAAAAGAAAATCGTTTGTCGTATTTTCTCATTTTGAGGGCACTCCACTTGTTGCCTTAGCCATTATCGGAATCCTTAGTGAAACATATCTAGTGAAGTATAGATATGCAACCTCGGCCAAATTGGCGTTTAAAAAGCTTGGTGTGCTCAGTAGTGCGAAACAGAGTTTCATGCTGAAGGCGCAGTTTCATTTTTTCAATAATATTATACTTACTAGCCACATCTAAACATATGTTATGCAGCAAACGGTTCGAAATGTAGATACTTACGTAAAGTGTTGTTTAATGTCTATTTATCATTAGCAATGGACATGTACTAAAAATGTTTGTTATTAAGACTACCCCTTTTTTTTAAAAGTAAAACAAACACTCAAAAAGTTCTTTTACAGAGAAAAGTATTCTATATTTTTAACATAAAAACAATATTATTAATAATATTGTCTATTATTTAATAATACTTTATGTCTCATTCGTAATTGGAGATACCTATTGGATACAGTTCCTACCTCTGGCTCGGGGCATACCAATACCAGCTTCTTCCACTTGAGCGTATTAATAGATAACTTAAATAGAAAAAAAATAATTTAAAACATCCGAAACAAAAAGAGCTGCTGGTCTTCAAACAGCTGAAAATATTTTCTTGAATCTTAGCTAAAAACGATCTTGATCAAGTCACCTTACAAACAAAACGAAAAATCTAAATTTAAATCGGTTCATTCGTTTGGGAGATACGATGCTACTGACAGACACATAGAAACACAGTTACACACGTTAAACCTATAACACCCTTCTGTTTGCGTCCGGGGGTTAAAAAGGCTCAAATCGTCGGCGAACAAGATCTTTTTGATTTGCGAAGAGATGTTCCATATTCTACCGTATATATAGCGGTAGTGCTCTGATGAATTAATCGGTATATAATCGATAAATCAATTCTCGCTTGTATGTTATACTTATTCTACTAGAATTTTTATGAGGTGTAATCGTAAAGGTATATTATAAAGCCCTGTAGTCGTCTTTTGATGTCATTGCCACTTTTCATAGCTTGCAGTAGATATTTTAAAAATAAATAGTGTACAATCGGTTCCTACATTAAAGAACCAATTTGTGTGAGACCGGTTCACCGGTTTTTATAAATCGGTACATAATACACATCACTGCAATAGTAGAATTGTCATGTAGATTTCGATTCAATAATCAGTTCAATAAACATATTTTAAGAATAAATTAAAACACTTAAAATTTTAATGTTTTTTGAAATACAAACAATTACTTTAACCTAATAATAATAGTGTTCACGTAGTGTAGTGCGAAGTGTGTAAATCATCGCAAGTAGTGCATTATCAAGAAAATACGGGGACACTATCTTGAATCGATTTAACGACTAAGTGTTGTAAATTGCGGTGAATTAATTATCGTTATGTCAACAAAGTTATGAGATAAATACAGGTGAAGATTTCAATACTGTTATCAGTTATTTTTGGCGTGCATCATTATTATATTTTCGTAAACATATGATTTGCTTATAGAATGTCAAATAAAAATTCGGTCGATTTGGTTTGTAATCTTTATGTACTTTGGGTTAAAAATATTAATATTTATTCTCAAGATAATAAGTATTAAATATCGATTAGCGGACTATAAATTATAACAATAATATTCTAAAACTAAATTATGCATTTGCTAATTACTATACAATCAACTGTACAAAGATTTTCCTGTTGGTATTGAGTCACTATAAGTAACTTATGAATCATTTTAATTTTCAAATCTGCAGTCAAAGTGGTAATAACTAAGATATTAGCTAATGTTTAAAGATGTCTACACATCATATTATAGATTTGATTGATATTGATAGTGTTTGAGTATAATTAAGATTCTTGTAACAATTTTCATATTGTTATCCTTAAGAATTTAATTGTTAATTTTAACTTATATTAATAATTGCAGGTAACCATGTCTTTAGAAAGAGAAAATGTTGGGGTTATACCCCCACTTAATCTGGGGAATGCTTCAGTTGATCCAAGATCTCAATTATTACAAGAGATGCGGGAGCAAAATTTTGATTTAATTAGGTTTGCGTCTTATAGGACTGCCTGCAAGCTTCGTTATGTACAGAAAAAGTGTAATTGTAAGTGATATATTTCTATTGACAATTTTTTTTATTCAATAATCCTTTAAAGGGAGCTTTTGTTAATCTATCTCTTTCATTTTTGACATGATTATATATGAACCCAAAAAAACATTAACAAGAATAGTAAAGGATATTTATGTAAATGGTAGAAAATGTAAATAAGATGCACACCTTCTTTTAAGTAATCGAGTGTGTATCAAGTATGCTGAGCATGGTGCCTCTGTTACACAATAAAGCATACCTACACACACCCTACGGCATGATCAATTAATGCAATTAAATAAAAGTAATGATCACATTATCAACTTATGCAGGGCTGTAATGAACCCTGAACATATAGAATGCTGTAAAATAAAAATAAAGGTAAATGCTATAAGGGTTCTCTCTTCAAAATGACAGCTGCGAAACCCATGACATGGGATTATTAATTTTATCTGCACTGTTCATGAACTGTCATGAAATTTCTTAACTATTTTCAAACTCTGTTAATTATGTACTTGTAGTACAGTTTCAAACCCTCTTTCTGCAAGTATTCACCTGTCATCGTATAGATTGTAGCTTGTATATTATTGATTGATACAGTAATGATGGCAAATGTGTGTATGTGTGTTTACAATATATTTGATGGTAAGTGTACACTGAGTCCCATATATACCTATATTTATCGTATCTGAGAGCTTAGATAGAACTAATTGTTATCTGTAAAGAGGGTCTCTCATTCTCATTTCAAGAAGAGATATTTTCTAATTTGATTTCTTTTTTTTCAGTACATGTAATAGACATTTGGAATGTGATAGAGGCATTCCGTGAAAATGCTTTGAACACATTGGAACCTAATGCATGTGTGAATGTGACTAGATTGGAAACTTTAGTATCTTCGTTGTACCACAATTTAAATAAGAGGTTACCGCCAGCGCATCAGGTATCTGTAGAGGCATGCTCAGCCTTATTGTTGAATTGGCTTTTATCGGCTTATAGTACTGGGTAAGGAAAGAATAATTCTTAAATAGTTGTTCCATTTATTTTTAATTTTCATTAATACAGTTGAAACTGAATATACCAACATGATTCAGTATGGCAGTTATTGCGACAAAACGGCAAAGTCCTGCCAGAGTCCTTTTATAAGCACAAACAAATTTTTTTACTTTCAAATTAGTCCTTGTAAACATAAACCATTTAAATATAAATTGTATCCTTACTGCTTATAACAACTATCAGATATGGCATTGTTAGTTGGATAGTCCCTTCCATGTGATCATAATCAATTTCAACTGTCTAATGATTTATTACACCATTTGTGAATTCTTGAATTGTTATAAGAATTTATGGTAGAACAACACTATATCTATATTTTGGTTGTAGCACAAATGGGTCAGCTCAACTGGGTAAGGACCTTGCTCCCACAGAATACCAATGTAAAATATCAGTTTAATGATGCTGTTCTCAATTTGACACTTCTTTTCTTTTGTATGTATGTTAGATATCTTCATCAATTGTTATAAGGTGAACCTAAGGGTGAAAATATAAGGAATGAAGTGTTTAATGTAACTATTCAGATGACATTGTAGCTTGTGATTTTCTTCAGTCTACTCAAAAGCGTAAATCATAACATTTTTAATAAAAAGTAAAACCCGACTTCAAGCCAAATTTGTGGCCAAATTTAAAGTTTTAATACTCTATGCACTATGTCTTAGGACCGACTTCTGAAGTTATTTTAAGGAAATTATTTCATTCATTTTAGCTCATTGAAAATAGTTTTTACTTTTAATTTCTTTTTTTTATTATACAATATTTTATTATATACAATATTAAAAACTATAATAAAAAAAAACTGTTTTAGTTTTTTTTTATTATAGTTTTTAATATTGTATAGTAACTTAATTATCATACAGTCCTACTTCCCGCGATATCGTGACAAGAACGCTGTCTACGTTTCTCCGCTGAATGGCTATACTTCGCCTTTGAGCGAGAAAAGAATTTTATTTATAATTTTAATTAAAAGTTTAATTTTTGCCACAATCTGACTTCCCACAATAGAGTGAAGACCCTCTGTGTCCCGGTTAGTGCAGGACAGTTTAAACTGTATGTAGGCTGAAGAAAAACATTGTTTTTTAAAGCTGTACATTACGTGTCTGTATTTAAGGCTAAGATAATGTTATTATTAGTGCTCAAATTAAGAATATAGACATATTTGTTATTTTCTTATTTCCTTTTCAGTGATAATGTGGGAAAGATCAGAGTTTTCTCAATAAAAGTAGCTTTAGCTACTATGTGTGCTGGAAAACTTATGGATAAATTACGATGTAAGTTAAGTACTAAGTTTAAATTAATAATGCTCAATAGAGCTATGGTAGCACAAAGTTTAAAGGCTAAGCAGTTGCGTTAGGTTTCACAGTATGCAAACAATCCCGGTTCAATCTCCACCTGCACCAACGACATGAAATTTAAGTGCTCATTTACCACATGCTTGTGTTTGATGAATAAAATATTTGAGGGAATGTAAAGTTTGCGAATATGTAGAGAAGTTGCACAGTGGATTGATTGCTGTAATACCCTGTCAGAAATAATAGGCCTATGCCCATTATTTGGACATATCACTTACACTGTAACTTACTTAACATCAAATTTACAAGTGGTAGAGCCATGCTGCAGTGCTACAACTATACTACTGATATAGATCAGTAGTATAGTTGGAGCACGAATGTGTCGGTTCGACCGGGGAATGACCACACTCTCACAGAATACCAGCGTAAAATAGCAGCTTAACACTGCTGTGTTTCGTATGGTAAGTGTAGATAAAACGAGACCCCTTTTACTGAAACAAGGCATTCTATCTTATTCCTCATGGGTGTCATCACTTCTGCATTTTGCTTCGTAGTTGAGGAGGATGGATGTAGATGTCTATGGGCCACAGCAACTACTTACCATCAGGTGGTCTGTGTGCTCATTTGTCACCTTTATCCTATAAAAAAAGCAAAGATGTGAAAAAGTGTGTTACTGCAATCGCTAATGTCCCCGCCAAGGATGATAGTTAAGGCAAGTCCTCCCTACAATGAGATACGCCGATGTTCAACAGTAGAGGACTATTACTGGCGGATGACAAAGAAGACATTAGTTAGTTGGCATTAGGGTATATCTCCGCAAATCCACGTCATAGCAGGGATTTTTGATGCATAGGTAGGAATATAATAATGCAGTTATTCCAATCATCCAGTAAATGTCTAAGGGCAACAGCAACCACTTACTATCAGGTGGGCTGTGTGCTCGTTTGTTACCCTATCCTATATAAAAAAATGATAGTATGCCTCACTGCTTTTAATTGTACTGGCTCTCTATATTCTTCATACCGAAACACAGCAGTGCACGCGTTGCTCTTTAGCGGCCGAAATGGGTAAAAGGGTATTACCTACTCAGATGGACACATAGACAGAAAAGAAGTTCCACCATCCAGTAGTATGTACTGACCATATCCGAAGGAACCATGCCCACTTTTCATACATTTAAAAACCTGATTGTAAAAGTTTATGTATAGTTATAAGGTATAGTAGAAAAACTTCCTGTAAGCTTAGAAAATAATGTCATGTAGTAATTTTTACGATTTAAACGCTACAAAGCCCAAAAATATTAATGTTACTCTTTAGGTTAGGATTTGCCATTACCAAATACTTAATTTTTCTATATCTTATTAATGTTGTATCACCACTTCCTCTGAGATTATACTGAGAAAAATCTTGTGTATACCTACATATTTCTATTCTATATGATCCATGAAAAACACACAAAATGGCACATACACAACGAGACGCAAACGCAACAAGTGATTATATTCTCTTTGGCAACAACGAAAGACTGCGCCGATGCCAATCGTAGAACTGTCAAATGTCAAAAAAATCCGTTACACTCGTGCGCACTCAATGACATACTGCATGATTAATTTATTAATTATTATGTTATTTTTAATTAATCTGTACTATACAAAGAGTAATAAAGAAATATATCATTAAATACTTATAAAGCATTAAATACTTACTGATTAAATAAAACATAAAATAACGTTTAAAACTCAGAAACATAGTTCAATTATGTCAAGTAGCAGTGTGTAAAATGGAACATCCTAGAAAAAGGGTAGTTGAGATGCATTCAAAATATGGTGGTAATACGTTTACCCTTGACGTAGAATAAGCTTAAATAAATATTAAAAAATATTTTTCTCCTGCGTTTCTTTTAACACTGTGATAATCGTATTTAATTTACAATTCAATTGGCTGAATTTTAAGATTTATTTCATTTCTATACATAAGTGAAAAATGGGCATCTTTCTTTGTACATCTTAAGTTTATCTCAAGTCATCAATGACAAATCTTTTAACACTACTGTGGTGCATTAAAGTAACCACAGATATTTTGTTTCAAACAGATATATTCTCCCAGCTGTCAGATGGCAATGGTCACCTGCTAATGAAGAGGCTATCGGATTACCTGCGCGAGGTGTTGGCTTTGCCGGCTGCGGTGTACGAGTCGCCCTCCTTTAGTTACAATGACTCATTGGCACTCTCAATTTTCAATCAGGTATGTTATTTATAGTGAACTATGAAACCCACTAGACTAGACCAAACTACTTCGCGTAGAATTAGGTTTATAGGTTAATCAAATCAAATAAAGGTTACCTGAATCAATCAAATTAATCAAAGAGTCTCTTAGAGAAAAATTTAAAGAAATAAATATATTAACTTTGGCCTCTCAGTATATTTACGAAAATTTAATGTACTCGTATGTTCACAAAAACAACGATAGTTTTAGTAACAAAAGTGATATACACTCTGTAAACATTACGAACAAACACAAGCTAGTGATATCAGTCTCTCGACTCCACAGAGTCAGTAATTCATTCTTGGGGCAATGTATACGCTATTACAACAAAGTCCCAGAAAATATACAAGGTCTCTCTATTACAAAGTTCAACTATTTAATTAAACAAAAACTGTATAAAAAGGGTTATTATAATAAAAATGAATACATGGTTGATAATAACCCTTGGGAATGAGGTGGTCGCTTCCAAGCTGTTTCTAAAATAAATTTTGAAAATAGTTTCTAATAATTTATATTGTAAATTTATTAAAAAAAAAGTCCCGCTGGGCTTCTTGCTGGTTCTTTCCAGAACAGAGGATTTTTTTCGAACCAGTGGTAATGTAATGTAAATAAATTACTTTCAATAAAAATTACTTGTAATCAATATTGAATAAAAACTATTCTATTCAATTTTTCTTCAACATATTATGAACAGTCTTGACAGAAAAATCTAGTACCTGATTTTTTGCTCCCACCCGGGATTCGGACCCGGCATTACATATTCAGCAGTCATGCTTACAACCACTACGCAAAAGCATTTTGGATATATGTTCAGATTTATATACATGTAAAAATTTAAAAACATAGGATATGTTAAGATAATAGGTGTTTGGCTGTGAAGGAAAATATCATGAAGAAACCTGTTGACTGTGAACTATGTGGTACGTGGTAGAGCCACACTGTAGCTATATTGTAGCACGAATGGCTCGGCTCGTCCAGGGTTGGACCACACTCTCACAGAATACCAGCGTAAAATAACAGCTTAGTACTGCTGTGTTTCGTATGGTGAATGTGGAGAGTCGGAAACCCTTTTTGCTGGAAAGGAGGCATTCCATCTTAGTCCTCAGGGGTGGTAGCGCATCTGCGTTTTGATTCTTAATCTATACAAATTAATAAAATAGAAGTGTCTGTTTGTAAGGTCAAAATAACAACTTTTTACTAATTGCATATGAAAGTAAAGTGTGTGCAATTTATAAGATTTTGTCTGTCTGTTTGTTCCGGCTAATCTCCAAAACGGCTGGGCCGATTTTGACGGGACTTTCATTGATAGATAGCCCATGTTATAAGGAGTAACTTAGGCTACTTACATTTTTGAAAAATTATTAGGGTTAAAATTATTAAAAAAATTAAAAGCCTAAATTACACGCGGGCGAAGTCGCGAGGAACAGCTAGTCGAAAGCTAGTGTAGGTGTCTATAGGCAACAGCCTCCACTTACCATCAGGTAGACTGTGTGCTTGTTTTCACCAATATTCTATAAAAAAAGAATATTTTAGGGTCACCTGAAGACCTGCATTGGAGCAGTGCGGCGGACTAATTGTTCCCTAACCCTCTTGGAAATGACAGGAAACCTGTGCCCAGCAGTTTGGCATATATTGATTGTTATTTTTTCACTTTCAATATTTGTATAACTTGTATTTTTATTATTTTTCTAGAATGGCAAAATAACAGTAAATGACTTCTTAGACACGTTAATGTCGGATCCGGGACCTCCGTGCCTTGTCTGGTTGCCGCTTCTTCACCGCCTAGCGAGCGTTGAAAATGGTAATATTCACATAACATTATTGTTTCACATAATCGTACAATGATATCATAGTCACTAAAATAAGCATATAGTACCCGAATTCATTAAATATCAATACTGAGTGATAAAAACCTTATTCATAAAACTAAGCAATTATTTTATATTTAAAATAAATTTTGTAAATAGTTTGTAATCATTTATATTGTAAAATTTATTTAAAAAAAGTCCCGCTGGGTTTTTTGCTGGTTCTTCCCAGGACAGAGCATTTTATTCGAAACAGTGGTAAAGTAAAAAAATGACTTTCAATAAGAATTATTTGTAATCAATATTGAATAAAAATTATTCTATTTTATTCTATAAGTTTTATTCATATCATTTAACATCAAATGAGATTACGGCAGCATTAAGTAAAACAATTTTATTTAATGGCATCAGTAATGTTTAGCCTTACTGCCAATTTGGGAGGTCTGTAGAGATTTTCGGTTTTAATCCTAAGTCATGGAATAGAATAATTTGTGACTCTTTAGATTTATTCCACTAAGGTATAAAATAAGCGACTTTGATGTGGTACTTAAGAAACCAAAATCACCTTTTGCCGTATATTATATTCGACATTGAATTTTAAAATGGACATTATTGTAATTACTTAAAGATTAAAATCGTAGTTACAAATATGCGACTTACAACGGCAGGGTAATAAGTTTAGATTAGAATATACAATAAAATAAAACTTTATGTTGTGCATTAAAAGATTATAATCGTTATGGATAGCAAATCGTAAGTATCGTGATGTTATTATGTGAGATGTATTATGTAATTATAATGCTATTGCATACTTGCCATTCCAAACAATAGCAAAATAACGGGGTAACAACAGAAAGTTGATGCAAGTTCGATAATGCGTAAACATTGCGTAAAAATAATGCATGACAATATCTATTATTGTATACATGCATTTCTCATATTGTGTGCATTCTCACATGTGAATATATGACGGCTCCATAGCGTAGTGACTTAGTATTGAGTTGCGACGCTGAGGGCTGCGGGTTCAAATCCCCCACGAAACAAGTATTTGTATGACCTACATATAATTGTTCCGGGTCTGGATGTTTGTCCTTGTGCAATTTATGTTTGTAAACTGCCTTCACGATACAGGAGGAAATCCTAGTGAGGGGGTTAACTTAAAAAAAAAACCATATCAGAAACACGTGGTAGTGTTCACGTGGTAGAGCCATGCTGCAGCTATATTAGTAGTATAGTTGTAGCACGAATAGATCGGCTCGACCGGGGAAGGACCACGCTCTTACAGACTACCAGCGTAAAATAGCAGCTTGACACTGCTGTGTTTCGTATGGTGAGTGTAGAGAACCTATTTTACTGGAAAAGAGGCATTCCATCTTAGTCCTCACGGGTGACAACGCATCTGCATTTTGATTCTTTATTGAGGATAGATGTGGACGTCTATGAATCACAGCAACCACTTACAATCAGGTGAACTGTGTGCTCGTTTGTCACCCTATCCTATATAAAAAAAGAAACAGGGAATAACTTTAATGTCATATGACTATCACAATTGCCAATCATGAAGACATATCCTTACTCTAGAACACGTCCAGCAGTAGAATGTATATAGGCTGATGATGTTAAATGTGAAGACAATTTTTGTTTTCAGTTGTCCACCCACTAGCATGCAGCGTATGTAGGCGAAGTTCCCTGACTGGTTTTCGTTACCGCTGTACGCGCTGTGCTGGCTACACACTATGCCAGGACTGCTTTTGGCGCGGAAGGGTCTCTCCCCCTCACACCAATGAGCATGAAGTTAAGGAGTATGCTGCATATGTGAGTATAACATGTTGCGGGGTATTTATGTGATCTATTTCCATATATTTAAGATATGTCAAAGAGTCGGACTTTTGACTAAACAATTTCATTTTTTTTTAAAGTACCTTTCTGATCAATGTGATTTTGAATTTAATAAATTGTAGAAAATTAATCACGTTTTACAGTTAATTAAATAAATTGAGGTAAGTTGATGGTTCATTTATCGGGATATTTACTATCCATCTCTCAAGTTGTAGCAAGCAATACACTTTTACAAAATTTCCTTAAAATCGGTTGAGCGGTTTCCGAGAGTAGCGTGAACGAACATCGTAACATGGGATTTTTATATATTGAGATATAATTAGTACCATAGACTTAAAACATACAGGCGTATAGACGACCTGACAGCTCGGAAATATGTAACCAATTTTGATTTGACATTGTGTGCGTTAGCTAGTGATGTACATTTTACTTACAAGGACTATCGAAAAATTATTGTTAAGGAAGCGGTAAAAAGATTAAAAAAATGATTAGTGCACGAAAGTGAATCACATCAAAAATTTACTGAATTTTTACCTTGACAGTTCTAAAATAATTAAAAAATATAGAAATAACATGTTCCCGGGAATAAGCTGTCCCAATTATCGCTGAAGAGGTGAGTCTACCGATAAACTTAAACAATTTCCCCCAAGAATCAGATCGGAAAGTTGTATTTTCGAGCTACGAGGGTGGATTGAAAAGTACTCGGCCTAACACAGATCCATTCAATTCTAAAAATCAAATCTACCCACATTATTTAGTTCAGTTCAGACTAGTTCATTGTGTGAAGTTCGAAACGTGTGCGATAATTAGTTGTGATTTTATAAATTTATTAACAAAGTAATCGGACATAATTTCCGCGAATGGAGCAAATCGAGCAGCGTGCCGTCATTAAGTACCTCCATAAGAAGGGGCTATCATCAAAAGCCATCCATGATGACATGGTCAGTACATTAGGCGATTGTGCTCTGTCATATTCATCCGTCAAAAAATGGATAGCAGAATTTAAGCGTGGTAGAGAGAGTGTGAAAGATGAACCCCGCTCTGGAAGGCCTTCGACGTCAACTACTGACGAAAATATTAAAAAAGTACTTGATTTAATAATGGGAGACCGCAGATTAAAAATTAGAGAGATAGCCGAGATTATAGGCATCTCTTATGAATGAACTCAAAACATCATTGTCAACGAGTTGGGTTTCCACAAGGTGTCTGCGAGGTGGGTTCCGCGACTGCTTTCAGTTGAACAAAAAAGGACGCGATTGACTATTTCACGCGACTGTTTGGAGTTATTTGAAGCCGATGCAGATGATTTTTTGAATCGTTTTGTTACTATGGACGAAACATGGGTTCATTACTGTACACCGGAAACAAAACAACAATCAAAACAGTGGAGAAGACCTGGTTCACCACCCCCTAAAAAGGCTAAGTCGATTTTGTCGGCAAATAAGGTGATGGCTTCAGTATTCTGGGACTCGAAAGGTGTGATTATGATTGATTATCTTGAAAGGGGTCAGAATATAAACTCTGATTACTACTGCACCTTACTACGTCGTTTACGAGAGGAAATAAAAGAAAAACGTCGAGGAATGCTCAGAAGAAAAGTCCTGTTTCATCAAGATAACGCCCGTGTTCACACGTCAGTACAGTCAATGGCTGAAATTCACAACTGTGGCTTTGAACTGTTACCGCATCCGCCGTATTCACCTGATCTGGCACCATCAGACTTCTTTCTGTTCCCTAACCTAAAAAAGCACTTGGGAGGTCAAAGATTTTCGACAAACGACGAGGTCAAAGCAGCTGTAGACGCATATTTTGACTCTAAGGAAGAATCATTTTTTATCAACGGTCTAAATGCTTGGAAGGGGAGGTGGCAAAAGTGTATTGAACTTGATGGTGATTATGTAGAAAAATAAAAATATAACTGATTTAGTATTTGTTTATTTTCTTGGTTAGGCCGAGTACTTTTCAATCCACCCTCGTATGATGACCATATTGCCATGGACAGTTTCCTCGGAATTTCTTTTTAATATAACGTTAATCAACTATAAATAGGTAAATACTTAAGTACATACCTATTTATACTTTATATATTTTATAAAATGTTTTGCTATTGAAAAAATAAACAGGAACACGGAGTAAATAATGGCAGCTTTATTTTTCATGTAACTGTTATTTTAATAATTACAAACATTTAATAATTAAATAAGTTATAGCAATTATTTTTAACATTCCACTTAAGAGGATTGTGAAGCTGTAAATTTTCATACAAAAAGCGATAACGATTTCCCTCCCGTAAATATAGTTCAATTTACATAATTTTTGGAAATGTTGTAGATATAACAAAAAACAAGGTCCGTACGTTTTTATTTTAAAGTATTGCGTACGATATAAGTTATTAGCATCTAAATATATATTTTTGACTTAAAAACTTCCTCCAGCGTTTTTATTTTTTTAAATTAAACTAAACTAAATTACCAAAATAGTAAAACTTATAGACCTAAATTAAAGTGTATTGAATCTAATAAGACCAAAATTGTCTTATTTCGTAAAGGTTTAAGGGGGTAAAACCGTTATCACCGAAATCAATATTTCAAAAAGAAAATGTAGGGAATTGCATCCAAGACTTGCAATTCTATCGCACGATACGGGTCGGGGGGCAGGGGCATGTTGTAGTGATGTTGCAGGTATTATCGATATTATTATCACCTAGGGAGGCGAATGTAATATCGATATCCCACAAAGATAATACCTCTTGTTTATCGATTATTTAGAATTATTTTAGGGTCTTTATTATGGCTTCCAAATGTGGCATATTAGAAGCAGAAATAGGACATTTGACTGCATTTAAAGAGTCATCTCCAATAAGCACATCGGGACTTGCCCCTAAATAATAATCGTCGGAATAAATAAACAGTCCCACACTCCCAAACTTTTAGATTATGTTTCCTAATCTTGATTCTTTGCAAAATTTTAAATGAATGAAATTGCAATCGAAATGTTTGTGTTTTTTTATTTGCGATGCAATCAAATAAATGATTTATTTCACAATTCTTCGCCCTTACAACTTATCCGACTCAATTTTGACTAACTCTGCTTCAATAATTAACTCGACAGTCCAAGACGGTGAAATATTACATGACTTATTATTATTGTATTCTTTTTGATTCCCTTTGTCAGATTCGATTCATTCGCCAACTGGTGTACATCGTCCTTGCACATTACTGTCCGGTAATTCTATGTCTATCTCGGAGTCACTGAAAAATAAATATAATGATAATAGTTTAAATTATATTTTACGGCTAACCAACGCGGATGAAGTCGCGGGCTAATAGCTAGTTTACCTATAATTCGGTTCATTGTTTAAATTTTGATGAGTAAATATACATAATATCATGTATAGTAGAAGATATAGTGTAGGTACCTACCGAGTTTACACTGTACTTGGAAACTACTTACTAACGTACTTGCTGAGTCGAAATCGAAATTTAACTAATCAGATCTTTGTATCTCGAAAATTCCATAGTGATACGAAGAACTTTCTAATGGACTAATATTTATTACTAGACAAGCGGTAAAATAAAATAAAATTGTACAACCGATTTCAATAAAACTCAATTATAACATAATATATGTAATGGTTGAAGTAATTTCCATAAAATGTATATGGGACTAACTGTGAAACGACATACACTATCGAACACAAAAATAATAGGTATTCAAAATCGGTCCACAATTGACGGAGAAATCGGTGAACATATATAAAAAACAAAAACAAAAAAAACACAGCCGAACATAGATCTTCCTCCTTTTTTGAATTCAAATCAACATCAGCTATTCCATACAATTTATATTTTGTGGAATAAATTTCGGTCTATCACCTACCATTAACCTATGCAGTAGTATGTAAGGTAAGGTAAGTAAGTAAGTACGCGTACTTACCTGTTGATTTTAGAAGTTAGCGTTGCCCATCCTTTCTTCGATTTACGAAGCGAATTACATTTTTTAGTTTTGTCTATATCTCTTCCATTCTAAAAGGTATAAAATTATTTAAGTTGAATGAATATAATACTCATCGTAAAACAGGCCTTTTTTTTAACTTACTGTTTACCTTAGGCAGGTATAGATAGGTAGATACTTACATAAAAAAAATAATAGCTTACTTTTATAAGACATACATATGTAGTGAGTCCCTACTTAATGTCCACATAGACTATGCAATATAATAAAATTGCAATGTCACACAAACAAATCTATTATGTAACTTGTCGTAAATGTACGCAAATATAGGCTTTGAATGAATGAACGCTCCCGCTGCTGCTATCGTAGTGTGCGTGAAAATTAGCGTAATATGTTGTATTTGTGTTATTCACGCCCGGAGCAATTATCTATTCTGTGCCCGGAGGAGAGAGGCAGAACGAGTGGTATGAAACAGGTAGCATTTTTGAACAATTAGCATTTTTTTGCACTGCGTATCCGCACTTCCCAATCCTCTTAAATATAAATTTAAACTTAATAATTTAGTAAGGCAACTTGTAGGAATCAGTTAAATGTTTACGAGGCTTCTCTCTCTTTCATCTGTCCCATGACTTTAAAAATATATGATCTTACACAGACTAGCCAAATACGCAGGAGATATTAATACTTTAACTGTCTGGTTTCCGGACACAATAGCAATGACCTATATGTAGTGCATGGGACAGCGAAAGGGTTAAAGTGTGCTAGGTGTCTGAGCACAAACTAATAAGAAGTTGTGTCTCAGGATACAGATACACTGTCTATTCTCTCAATCTCGGTATGTTAAGTGGTGTTGGTCACCCATGCATGGACTGACTGCGACAAGTGCAGCTTAATCTCGCAGATCTATTGATCCGTGCTGCTGTTAATTAACCACGAGTTTCTCTTTACGACTAACGCTGTAGGTGATGAAGCACGCTATCAAGCCCTCGGCACACTGTTGCCGGGCACCAAACATAAATCGGGTATCGGGCGTTGTGAGTATCAAATACACATGAATTTATATTATCCTGGCACACTGAACCGTGCCTCTCATGCGCGGGCATCCAGCGGCGCTTCAGGAGCCTTAGTAAATATCTATACCTAACTACACTAAAAACTTTATCATTGTAACTTGGGAATATAATCCGAAGCTCCGCTCAAACCTTCCGCCCAAACCTGAAAATAAGCGTGATGCTATAAATATTGTGCTAGTATGACCGTGAGGTGCGGGTGGTTAAGTAAGGTTATACATTATTTTAGTTGATAAATAGATACTCAGTTGGGTTCATAATTGCTTAAATAGTATCATCTCAAGATTTTTTATTTTTAATATACTACAGTTTTAAAATATATAAAAAGCTATCTAAATTTTTACCTAAAATTCTTTAAGTTAAATTTTTGAAGTCTTACTGTAACAATATTGAACTTACTGGTACAAATAATGTAGGAATGGCTCCTTTTAATAAAATTGTCTTTATTCTGCTTTTTCTTTTATATTTCTCAAGAAATTGTCAAGTTCTTCATTAGATTTCAACCAACCCGCCCAATTAACCTTATCAATATTTTTTATTCTATCCATATGTTTGACAAACGGCAAAATGAAATTACGTTTTTAGAACGCAAATTGAGTATTTATTTTCATTCCTCTCCTTGTTGTGTGAGCAAGTCTATGAATTCATTATAAACATTCAAGATGAATATCGACATTCATTTTGATATAGTTGAGTCAATCCCTAGCAGTACATGTAAAAATTTTTGTTTTAAAATGGATTCACCAAACTCATAAAAATTATCAACAACGTGACATTTTTCTTTGCAAAATTTCAAAATTAATAAAATAGTTAAATATATTCTATGTTTTAACAGTATATAACATAAATTTTAACCAAAAATAGAAGCGCCATATATTAGTAACGACGTCTTGCGAATTTAGCTGTGAAATGTGCAACCATCAGGATTATTTATATTATTGATACCACAGTCACTCTTGGAACATGTAACCAATTTGGAAAAGTATGAATTATAAACATTAACACTATTATAATCTAAAAAATTACAAAATACGAGCTTATTTCTTGCGTGCCGACTTGTGCCGACATGTCAATCGGTTACAAAGTCATGAGATTTGGTATCCTTTTCTATCTTGCATTTTTGTCATAAGAAATTTTCTTCTCGCTTGCACACTATGTCAGTCTATATGCCTGTATATTCTATGTCTATGATTCGTACATACAAACAACTATGAATATATACGCCTGTTTAGCAATACATATGATATACATGGATGATTTACATAAGAAACGTTGCACATGCAGAAGTCCCCGTCGAAGCAGATCGGCGCGACGCTGCGCAAGTCGTTTCGCTGCGTGCCGGAGCGCGCGCGCGCGCAGCTGCCGCGCTACCCCGACCAGCCCGAGCGCACGCTCAACCTCAGCCACATCGTGTACGTACACACTACACATATGTCCTAACTTGTTCTGCTGCGTGCCGGAGCGCGCGCGCGCGCAGCTGCCGCGCTACCCCGACCAGCCCGAGCGCACGCTCAACCTCAGCCACATCGTGTACGTACACACTACACATATGTCCTAACTTGTTCTGCTGCGTGCCGGAGCGCGCGCGCGCGCAGCTGCCGCGCTACCCCGACCAGCCCGAGCGCACGCTCAACCTCAGCCACATCGTGTACGTACACACTACACATATGTCCTAACTTGTTCTGCTGCGTGCCGGAGCGCGCGCGCGCGCAGCTGCCGCGCTACCCCGACCAGCCCGAGCGCACGCTCAACCTCAGCCACATCGTGTACGTACACACTACACATATGTCCTAACTTGTTCTGCTGCGTGCCGGAGCGCGCGCGCGCGCAGCTGCCGCGCTACCCCGACCAGCCCGAGCGCACGCTCAACCTCAGCCACATCGTGTACGTACACACTACACATATGTCCTAACTTGTTCTGCTGCGTGCCGGAGCGCGCGCGCGCGCAGCTGCCGCGCTACCCCGACCAGCCCGAGCGCACGCTCAACCTCAGCCACATCGTGTACGTACACACTACACATATGTCCTAACTTGTTCTGCTGCGTGCCGGAGCGCGCGCGCGCGCAGCTGCCGCGCTACCCCGACCAGCCCGAGCGCACGCTCAACCTCAGCCACATCGTGTACGTACACACTACACATATGTCCTAACTTGTTCTGCTGCGTGCCGGAGCGCGCGCGCGCGCAGCTGCCGCGCTACCCCGACCAGCCCGAGCGCACGCTCAACCTCAGCCACATCGTGTACGTACACACTACACATATGTCCTAACTTGTTCTGCTGCGTGCCGGAGCGCGCGCGCGCGCAGCTGCCGCGCTACCCCGACCAGCCCGAGCGCACGCTCAACCTCAGCCACATCGTGTACGTACACACTACACATATGTCCTAACTTGTTCTGCTGCGTGCCGGAGCGCGCGCGCGCGCAGCTGCCGCGCTACCCCGACCAGCCCGAGCGCACGCTCAACCTCAGCCACATCGTGTACGTACACACTACACATATGTCCTAACTTGTTCTGCTGCGTGCCGGAGCGCGCGCGCGCGCAGCTGCCGCGCTACCCCGACCAGCCCGAGCGCACGCTCAACCTCAGCCACATCGTGTACGTACACACTACACATATGTCCTAACTTGTTCTGCTGCGTGCCGGAGCGCGCGCGCGCGCAGCTGCCGCGCTACCCCGACCAGCCCGAGCGCACGCTCAACCTCAGCCACATCGTGTACGTACACACTACACATATGTCCTAACTTGTTCTGCTGCGTGCCGGAGCGCGCGCGCGCTCAGCTGCCGCGCTACCCCGACCAGCCCGAGCGCACGCTCAACCTCAGCCACATCGTGTACGTACACACTACACATATGTCCTAACTTGTTCTGCTGCGTGCCGGAGCGCGCGCGCGCGCAGCTGCCGCGCTACCCCGACCAGCCCGAGCGCACGCTCAACCTCAGCCACATCGTGTACGTACACACTACACATACTCTCTATTACCAACTCTTAGTATTTTATTCATCAAAAACTGTATTAAAGGATCATTAAGCGAAATATCACAGACTCACTAACTCATTTCGACATCTCTAAAACTATACGCCCGATTGACTTGAAATATGGCAGTACATGGTAGAGCCATGCTGCAGCTTTATTATGGTAGTAGCACGAATGGGTCGACTCTACCGGGGTAGGACTAGGCTCTCACGGAATAGCAAAGCGTTAAATAGCAGCTTAATTCTGCTTTGTTTCGTATGGTGAGTTTAGATAACCGGAGACCCTTTTTACTGGAAAATAGGCTTTCTATGTCAGTCTTTCAGAGGTGACAACGCATCTGTATTTTGATTCTCAATTGAGGATAAACGTAAATGTTTATAGGGCCATAGTATCCGCTTACCATCAGGTGGAGTGTGTGCTTGTCTCTTACCTTTATTCAATTTTAAAAAAACGACTTAGACGTGGGTTCCTAAAAAAAGATTTTGTAAAATTTGTAAAATTCAATGCCTGAGGCGGTGAAATGGGGTGTCACAGATTGTTATAACATAAATGAATACATGTGTGATAATAATCTCTGGGAATTAGATGCTAGCTTCTGAGCTGTTCCAAAAATAAAATTTGTAGATTGTACGAGCTGCTGTGCTGTACAATCTTAGAAGTTGATAAAAATGATAAAGACTTGAACTGAAAGTGTAATTTATTCTGATATTATTGATAGTATGTACAATCACGCGACGGCGAATGATTGTGTACTGAATTGATGAGAATGAAAAATTAAACGATAAGGTAAAAATGCTGATGTGCAGAAATGTGCGGTTTGAAAGTACATAAATTCTACTAATATTATAAACGTGAAAGTTTATGAGGATGTATGGATGTTTGTTACTCTTTCACGCAAAAACTACTAAATTGATTTTAATGAAACCTTACAATTATATAGCTCAAACATCAGAATAACACATAGGCTAATTCATAACGACATTTTGTAAATTCGCCAAAATATAACAATAAATAATAATTAAGTCAGAAAAATCGTTCATCTGCGAGCTATTTTGGCGTGTGCTGCAAAAATTGTAATAGTTACACGAATATAATATATGGGGGAATTGTTTCTCCTAAATATTTCTACAGAAAAATCACCAACAGTATATATATTTAAGCCATTATTACCAAAATAGTGATCCATAAATACAAAAAAAAAATGATACTTTATTTCCAACGCACATTTTGCAATAACAAATTGATTTTTATGTAAATACTTTTATCTCTTCCGGTATTCAAAGTAGACAAACTTTGTCTTTGTAAACCATGTAATTTCGTCAAATAGTTTTAAAAGTTACGACGATATAAAATTGTGCGGTCCGACGCACGCAGAGCGGTCGGGCGCACTGTGGGTGAGGTGGGGGAAAACATCGCTCATGGCTAAATATGATGCTTACGCATGGCAGACGCCTGAGCCCACATAGATTATCTATCTATACTAACAAGACGTCTGTCTAAACACGCATCACGCAAAAACTTGTGAACCGATTTGGACGGGACTTTCACTGGCAGAGACTTAGGCTACTTTTATTTTATGGTTCCGCGCAAAATAATTACACGCGGGCGAACCTATCCTATTGTATAATTTACTTTGAAAAAAAGTCCCGCCGGGTTTCTTACTGGTTCTTCCATGGAAAGAGGTTTTTTCCGAACCAGTGGTAAAATTAAAAAAATAAATTTAAATAAGAATTACATGTATTCTTTATTGAATAAAACATATTCTATTCTGCTGACTAACTGTGCGACTCACCGCAAGTTCTGTTCCTCGCACAACTTCCTTGTAAAATCTGAAATGTTTACAGCTTGCAACTTCCCGAAAAACAACTTTAACCGAAGCTCCGGTTAAAGTTGTTTTTATATATTCATATCGGTGGGACCTTTTATTGTTTTTTATTTGAAGGAAAAGATAATATATGTACTTATTCTGCTTTATCATTTCTAAACATCACTTGAACATTGAAGAATGTGCCGTTAGGCATATTCTTGAAAGGCCTATTCAATCAAATAAATTATATTATATAGATTTTTTTCTTTTGTTCTATGTTTCTTTATTTATGTTTTCAGTTCCTCGAATCTATTGTTTAGAAGTTTAGATGCTGGGGTTCTATTTACATACATAGCTTCCCCAAGGGAGTATGCAGGGTTTAAAGAGCAGCTACTCTAATCACTTTTAGTCTGAAAAATATAGGTTTAGATGGAAAATTGTGAAAGAAGTGATAGGTGGTTTAAAACATTTTGGCAAATAATTTATTTATGTAATTAATATATGCATAATTTTAATTCCAGTCCACCTTCACCTGTACCAGCCCACAACGGTTTTCCAGAGTATGTAAGCGGATATGTCAATACAGGCTCTCTAGATTCGCGGTCTTCAAGATCAACCCATCGCAGTAAGTCTCTTTCACTTTGGAATAATTTTGGCTTTCAGGGATTATATCTTAGTTCTCACAGGTCACCATACCTTATTTAAAGTTGGTTGTAGGTGAACATTTCTGCATATGTCACTCGCATCATTTAATTTCTTACACGCGTTAGAAGTGAAACCTTCAGAAAACTAAACTTAGAGAGAATGAAACGAATGCAGAGTATCAGGAGTAGGATATATGTAGGGTTTATTTATTATAGAATTGTTACCAAGTTTAAAATTACAGACTGCCAGTGTAAATAGCAGCTTAACGCTGCTGTGTTTCGTATGGTTAGTATACAGAACCGGAGACCCTTTTTACTGGAAAAGAGGTATTCCATCTTAGTGACAACGCATCTGCATTTTAATACTTTCTTGAGGATAGATGTGGATGTCTATGGGTCACAGCAACCACTTACTATCAGGTGGACTGTGTGCTAGTTTGTCAACCTATCCTATAAAAAATACATTTTATTCGACATAACATATTATACAGACTTCAAGTTTGCAATTTCATCATCATAAGTACTTAAATATTTTCTAATCAACAAATTTCGGTTTTAACCCTTACTGTTCATCTCATTCTCTCGCAGCTCATAGGCTAAATCCTATAGATATCTATGTTTAGGTTTAAAGAGTTTATTATTATCTCAAAAAAAGAACAAAAATTCACTTATATCATATAAGTTATATGAGACTTAAAAATAACATAATTGGTAAAAATAATACATTTACATACTGCGACTTATATGAATAAAGTTACATAAATATATCAGAATTAAGAATGTGCCGTCTTTAAATTAATGTTTGACAATGCTTTTTTAATTTATCTTTAAAATTTTGGAAAAGATTTTTTATGAAATACATCGTTCGGTAGGCAGTAGCGCTCCCTCAAACTGAATAGTTTTCGAACCATAGGTTTTAGGCCTAGCTTTCGGTAGATGCAGTTTATGTTTGTTTCGTGTACAGTGTTTATGTGATTTACTTTTAAAATTAATTTGTGTGTGTAAGGAATCTGAGAGAATTTTTCAGACTAGTATGCACGTCTTGTATTTGTATATTTGACTTATGGATAATATTTGTCTTTTTCTACTGAGCGAAACTCGATGAAACTAAAAAGTTTCATCGAGTTTCGCTCATATCACTTCAAAAATCAACCTCTAGGTTTTATACTATGGTGACTTTATATGAAATAAAAAATATCGATCCTAGCTCTTAGTAAAGAGAAATTGCTGTCGTGTTTAAGTCGACTAAGCAATCCCTTCTGCTTTTCCTATATAAGCTTAAATTTTTTTGCAGGTATAGCTGATCACCTATCGCGTGGGGTGGACGACGAGCATCGGCTTATAGCTAGATATGCCGCAAGGCTTGCGCATGAAAATAGGACTATGGTATGCATTTTAGGACAAGCCACCTGACCCAGAATAATATAGGAGATATAAATAATAAAAAAAGTCATCATTAATTTGTTACTTCACACTAAAGCTGATACACTAACAAATCTTTCAACTATTCCCACTCCCAATCACTCCTCTTTTGTTTTTAATCCATTCTCTACTTGTGACGTTAAGAACAGCGTTCTATCTATAACTTACAATGCAGTGGGAAGTGACCTACAAACATATACCAAAGGTTGTCCTGACGATCTCCCAAATGCTATTAATGTCGAACGTATACTTGAGCGGAGTAAAGCATACGACCTTCACGTCCATCCAGTAAAATCGCAAGGAATGGCAAGGCAATTGTAGGCCTTGATTACCTACCTCAAATAGTATTTGACAAAAGTATTATCCATGTTGCAGAGGTGAACGGCAGAGTCGGGAAGGGATGCCCTAGGCGTTAAAAGTTAAAAGTTTATCGACCAAATTGGCGATATATTGAAAATGGGCCAAATCAAGAGTACCTTTAACCGACGAGCGTGTATGCGTAGGTATATGGATGTGGAGGAACCGAGAGAGGTGTGTCAGGATCATGCCAAATGGAAGTCTATAGTCTCTGCCTATCCCTCTGGGTGACAGGCGTGAGTGTTTATATTATCCCTTACAGGGATTCAGTAAAGTACTTGCGGATCCATATACATAATCTGTCGTGGGGACATCACATCAAAGAGATTCATCCAAAGTTTATGCCACTGCAGCTTCCTTGCGTAGATAAACTTTCTTCCAATTTCCACTAAAACTGTGCCTGCCAAGTCTCTTCTCTTCCCCATTTTTGATTATACGTACGTCAGCTATCTAGATCTTACCGAAGCTAAGCTTAATAAACTTAAGCGAATTCAGATTTTTTGTATAAGTTTTATATTTGTATTACATAAATATGACCATGTCTCTTTTTCGTACTAAGCTCAAGTACCAATACGGCTTAATTGGAATGTTCGCATACTTCATCTTCGCTATAGTGTTCTATTTAATCCTTCCTACCTCAAAAATCACTTTGAGTTTTTTCGTGATTTCCATTCATGTAACCTGGCATCAGCAGAGAGCTTGAAGTGGAATATGCCACCACACACTAGTAAATTTACGAACGGGTCTTTTACCGTATAGGTCTTACGTTGCGTAAACACTTGCACCATTCCTTCCAGTATTTAAAAAAAAGCCGGCTAAATGCGAGTCGAAATCGCGCGTGAAGGGTTCCGTACCATCTTAAAACACATTTCTAGTAGGCAAGCTCCTTTTAATTTTGAATTTATTTAAATTTTTATTATTTGTTGTTAAAGCGGCAATAGAAATACACATTCTGTGAAAATTTCGACTGTCTACCTATTATGGATCACGAGATACAGCCCGCTGACAGACAGACGGACGGACAGCGGAGGCTTAGTAATAGGGTCCCATCGGAACCCTAAAAACTAGTCAATAATCATTACCTCGCTCTTTAAATTGTTACTTCGTTTCCACACTAGCCATTAAATATAATTTATTATGTAGTATATTGATTGCATTTAATTATATATTAAATACATATATATTTTATTTTTCGTATGTATAATGTACCCTACCCCTGTCATTCTTCCTGTAGGATTGCAGGAACATCCATTCGTTGGTTGTCTTGAAGAAATTGCTGTCAGCAATAAGACCGCCCATTGCGTACTTCTTTATAAATAATTTCTGTATGTTTTGTTTAGTGTGCAATAAAGAATATTTAAATTTATTAAATTCGGTCCCTAATGCCTACCCAGCACGGTCACAGTCTGTTTATAAAACTGAAATGACAAACAAAGTTACAGTTCACCTGATGGTAGGTGGCTACTGCAGTTTATGGAGCCAACTTCAAACAAAGAAGGCAATAGATGCGTTGTCACCTCTGAAAACTAAGATAAAATACCTCACAGCCTGTACTTATAGTGGCTCTATATCCTTTGAACCGGAACACGGCAGTGCGCCCTCTTCAACCTAGTGGTAAAAAGGGTGGTATCTGTCTAGATGGACTCCTAGGAGTTCCACCACCTAGTAAAGAATATAATAGAATTATTTTTATTCAATATAAATTACATGTAATACTTATTGAAACTGATTTTTTACTTTTAATACTGGTTCGGAAATAACCTGTCCTGGGAAGAAAAAGCAAGAAACCCACTGGGACTTTAAAAAAAAAATTTATTCAATATAAATTACATGTAATACTTATTGAAAGTCATTTTTTACTTTTAATACTGGTTCGGAAAAAAAAACCTTTGTCCTGGGAAGAACAAGCAATAACCCACTGGGACTTTCAAAAAAAAATCATAATTTACAATATAATATTTTATACAACTGTTATGATAATATTTAGAAACAGCATGGTAGCGATTACCTCATTCCAAGAGGTTATTATCAATTATGTACTTTTTAGTAGTATAAATAACCTTCCTAAACAATTTATGCTTAATAAATATTTGAAACCTTTTGATAGATAGGGTTTGGCATATTTCAATCGCTTTGCGACCAGTCAGTCTCCTGTCCTGAGTGCAAGCACTGTTATTTGTGGTGACAGAAATAGGTAAGAGAGTGGTGCCTGCCCAAATGGATTAAAAGGTTCCATTAGATTAAAATTAATGCTGTAGGAATGCGGTTATTACGAAGTATATTAGGGTGACTCTAAATGACAGGGTAAGGAAGTATGATAAGAGAAAAACATGGTTTGCAAGAATATGTTGTGATCAGGATCAAGAACCGAATTCTTAAGTGAAAAAAAATGTTTTTAACTGTAACCGTTTCGTTTACATCAGTGACATATCAAATTGTCACTCTATCTAGTAAGGTTTGTCCTACACTCGACATAAATATGCTAATAATCAAAAATTATTTTCGCAGCCTCGTGCCGGTAGATCCGCATCTCTCACACCTGAATTGGTAAGTTAACCTTTAGCTGTTTTCTTTTCTAGAAGTAAAGGTTTCAAATCAGCACACAATACACCTGATGGTAAGAAGGTGCTGCCCATTAAAATCTTTATCTAAACTCGATTAAGTATCAAAATGACTAGGATGGAATGCCTCGTTACCAGTAAAAAAAGGTTCACGGGTTCTCTACACTTACCATACAGACAGCATCACGTATTCTATGCGAACGTCGTCCCTTCCCTGTTGAGCCGACCCATTAGTGCTGTAGCCATAAAACATGCATGCCAGCATAATAAATTATTTCATTCATCTATTAACTTAAGAGGCCTATGTTCATGTGAATTCATTATTTCAGGGTCGGTCGTCTTCAGAAGGATCGGAGGTAGATGCGGCCAGACAGCAACGAGAGCTCATATCTCAGTTGGAAGCTAAGAATAGGGAGATTATGAGGGAAATTGCGAGACTTAGGTAAGTTATTCCTCTTACTTGTTCCTAATCATAGACATTTTTTTTATATGATAGGGTGAAAAACGAGCACACAGTCCACCTGATGATAAGTGGTTACTCTGACCCATAGACATCTACATCTCCTCAATAAAGAATTAAAATGCAGATGCGTCGTGACCCGTGAGGACTAAGATGGAATGCCTCTTTTCCAGTAAAAAGGGTATCCGGTTCTCTACACTCACCATACGACACAGCAGTATTGAGCTGCTTATTTTACGCCGGTATTCTGTGTGAGCGTGGTTCTTCGCCGGTCGAGCCGACTTATTCGTGCTACAACTATACTACTAATATAGCTGCAGCATAGCCATGCCATGCCAATAGGTTGATACCACCTTCACACATGGTAGAGCACTACCACGTGTAAAGGTGGTATCAATCTATTACATTGGCTTAAAATACGCCAAATATCAGTACTTGTACTGCAGTGTTTAGGTTTGAAGGGTATTGAGAGCCAATATAATTACCGGTTGTGAGGCATCCCGTGTAATCCTAAGTTATGTTTACTTCAGCTATATAAAAACAAATTATCAATAAAAATATCTTTTTTGATTTGTTGTTTCACATCTAATCTTCATCGACACATGTATCGGTTGCTGGTCGGAAGGCAAGTCATCTTAAGGGTTTGGACCAATAACTTGTTCTAGAAATTGACGTTGTGGGTTCAAATTCCGTATGGAGTAACTATATGTTATCGTCATCTTTATTACTACAGCTTGTCGGAAATCAACTGCTAAACATAGGCAGTGCATTTTTCTTGATGAAAATTCAAAATAATAAACTGCAGTTACTAACCTACTTGCCAAGCGTGGTGTCTATGACAAATATGTCTTCCAAAAGGAAAATTATGGTAGTGGTCTTGTTCAGCAGTGAACTTTTGATAGGCTCTAATAAATGACTGAATATAACTAATTGGTTTCTCGAAATCGGAAACGATTTGAACGAATAACCTTTCCTATAATTACGTGAAGGCCTCCCTCATAGAATTAGGTTAATTAATAGACGAAGAAAAACAATGCCCTTTGAATATAGGAAGCGGGCATTATTGATGGACTCCCTTACCGCCGCTATCTAGACATAAGCAAATATGTGTAAGAAGATGTTTCGTCCAGAAGACAGCAGGAGGCGGAGGCGGGCGCGGGTGTGGGGGCGGGCGCGGGCGGCGGGGCGGGCTGCGCGCCGCCGCTGGTGTCGGAGCTGCGCGCGCTGCGCCAGCGCAAGGACGAGCTGGAGGGACACCTCTCCTCGCTGCAGGAGTCGCGCAAGCACCTCATGCAGCAGCTCGAGGGACTCATGCGCATGCTCAAGGTATACCCACTTCTTGCCAAAACCTGCCACTACCGGTTCATGATCTAGATCAAAAGGATACATGTTGAAGCATAGACTAATTACCGAATTGATTTCCGACATTTGGTATTGACGAGCAGGGTAACAGCCATCGGCCTGGCTACACCATAGGAGAAAATGTATGTATGTATATAATATAAATATATAATATGCAGAACGCAAGGAGACATTTCCAATACTATAATCTATTTATTAATTTAACTGTCAAATCTTTCGTCACGTGCAGACGTCCGTACGCCGCTCATCTCTTAAATTAAGGTTGCAGTCTTATTTCAGCATTGAGTGACGCCTGTTTGCCTAATATGCCTCAGTTAACCATAAAAATGTGTACTCTATGGCGTCCGTAGACAATAAATATTTTTTTATTCTTTCACTTGCTTCGAAACTGTTAGTGATGCTCAATAACGGCTAAGAATAAACCTTTATTTTGCGATCAGCTATACAGTTTTTATAAAACAATTATAACTAAATAGGCACAATATTTAAAATTACTAGAAAACTATAATAATAAAAAAAACTAAAACTAGAAACTTAATTATCATATAGTCCTACTGCCCGCGGTATCGTGCCAAGAACGCTAGATGCATTTCCCCGCTGAATGGTTATACTTAGCCTTTGAGCGAGAAAAGAACCAGCCCTCTTATCACCAGCGGCAACGACCAGCCGCGGATAGAGTTCCTTTAGTTACTTCACCGCACGTGGACCCCATGGACCGATAGTCTCTACAGCAAATGGCACAATATGTAGTCATCTCTCAGAGATTCATATTTGCGCCACTTACTCAGTTCAGCTGCCTCTAATGCCGCCCCGGCTCTAAACGAGGTACCCCTGAGATGAGAGGCCGCCAGAGTGTCTACGCAAGTAGCATCCAAATTACTTGATTAATATTATTAGTTTACATATTATAATTTCCTATAATATATTATATATATATTTTATTGTATATGTGTACATATGTACAAACTAACATTTATATTATACAATGGCTTATTTAAGGTACTTTTTTTTCTGTTGCGGCTTCGGCCATAGCTCTCACCACACTAGCAAAGGTTGGCTAGCAGAGAATGCCTTTTCGGCATTAAGTTCGTTTTAGTACCAAATTGTTTTGAGTGCAATAAAGAATTTTCTGTCTATGTATAATCTATTACGACCGTTGTTATGACTGTAGTTCACCGTAAAGCAAATTAAAAAAAAACATACGTCTTACTGATAAAAAATATTTAAAAAAGAATATTTGTAAATAATCTAAAATTAAAAAATTATTAAATTTTTTTACTCGGTAGAGCCATGCTGCTGCTATATTACTGGTATAGTTGTTGCACGAATGGGTCGGCTCGACCGGGGAAGGACCACGCTCTCGCAGAATACCAGCGTAAAATATCAGCTTAATGCTGCTGTGTTTCGTATGGTGAGTGTAGAGAACCGGAGACCTTTGTTACTGCAAAAGAGGCATTCCATCTTAGTCCTCACAGGTGAAAACGCATCTGCATTTTGATTCGTAATCGAAGGTAGATGTAGATGTCTATGGGCCACAACAAAAACTTACCATCAGGTGGACTGTGTGCTTGTTTGTTACCCTTATCCTATAAAAAAATATATAATGGATTCGTGATAAATTACATTTAAGAAATACCGAATTAAGTTATTTTACACGTAAAAAGTTTCATCTAATCTAGTTAAAATTTATATGAGAGTAGGACCATTGTGAAAGTATCAAGGTGTCTCTTTATATACTTCTTGTTCTACTTCTTTTTGAAATGAAATTCATAGAAATTTTGTTTATTTTATAATGTAGACGCAGCAATCATCACCGCGTTCAACGCCGAACTCATCGCCCCGCTCAACGAAGAGTCCTCCGTTACCAGGTGCACAACCTCAACCCTCTGCACCTGAAAGGCAAGTTTAAAAAATATCTATATTTAACTCTGACAAAAATAAGTCAATGTGGCAGAATCGCTGCAGAACATTATGCTCAACGACCTCTGTGGTGTCACCCAACAGATAGGTCTTGAGATGAACATGAACAAAACAACAATCATGGTGTAGTTGTTTGGAGAGCTACGTTCGAAGTTGTTGTCGTGTATGTTTATTTAGGGCAAATTGTCGGTCATCACAGTCCGTTGACAACACCCTGCTGATCAAGTAGCAGATTGCATCACATGCATGCGTGCTTGGTACACCGCTCTTGGCGGTTACCCACCGTAGAGTCTATATCACCTGAGGATGCCTCGTGTAGAGGCGAAACACGTGTCGTATTATCGTCAGTGGTGTGTCTTGCCTAGTGTATTGGTGTTGGGAGTAGCGGTGCTGGGATTAGTGGTGACGGGGATAGTGCACACAATTGAGGGAGGGCGGGAGGTGCTCTTCATACTAGGTAAGACACATCATTTTATTTTATAATGCGGATATTTGCGAAATAAAATTTTCCTAAAAGTCTTTATGTCCCCTTACATTCCATTCCACCTCTTATTTGTATTGAGAACTCTGGAAAGATACAAATAAATAAAATAGAAGTGTCTGTTTGTGGTTTCAAAATAACAGCTTTTTAATAAATATATATGAAATTATATACGGTACTTATAACAAAAAATGTCTGTCTTTCTGTTTGTTTGTACCGGCTAATCTCCGAAATGGCTGAACCAATTTTGACGGGACTCACTGGCAGATAGCTGATGTTATAAGGAGTAATTTAGGCTATTTTTATTTTAGAAAAAGTTAAAACCCATGAAATCTAGTCGTAATAAATTCCACGCGGGCAAAGTTGCCAGTAGAAATTGCGTAGTTCTCATTATTATTATTAAATTACTCCACCATTGTCTCAAAACTTGGTTGGTTTTGTTTTGAATTAAATTTTATTATTGTAATCTCTTAGTATAAAGAACAGGAACATGTCAATAATATAAATTACACTTTTATAGCTATAGTTTATTTATGTTTGTTTAAAAACAGTAATTTATTACAGAGAGTCAAGTGGACGTGTGCGTAGTGCGCCGCAAACGCCATCTCTTGGCGAACGGGAGCGAATTGACATGACGCACAGCCTCGGTAAGTTTAAAAGAATACAGTCACTTAGGCTTACATCGTGATACCTTAACGTGGTAGAGCCATGCTGCAGCGAATAGATGGCAGCATGAAGTGTCAGTGTTTCGCATGGTGAGAAAATAGAAATGGAAACACTTTTCACTGGTAACGTGACATTATATTATGATTCCATATCAATTGTCAGTATTTCCCCTTCGACATTTTGATTCTCAATCGCGGATAGACATAGGTGTCTATGCGCTTCAGCGTTAGATGGACTGTATACTCGTTTATATATACCCTTACTTCTATCGGAAAAAATATGTTAATATCTTTAAAAAACAAACAAGCCCACAGCTCACGTGATAGTAAGTGGATGCCGTTCCCCATAGGCATAGCAAACATTGCAGCATTAGCTATTTTAAGCTGATATTTTGTGAGAATTTGGTGCTTCTCAGTCCCGAGTTTTGTTCAGTATATGACCGCCATATTTATTTTGTGCTGGCATCATAAAGTCTCTGTTATCAAAGGCAAATTAATAGAGAAATCGTTTATCAGAATGCGACGACAAATTTAGGAGCTACGAAAGTATATAGAAACGGACATACTTAAAAATATACTATACAGCTAATAATATACTCTCTTTGGGCTTCACCGCAGTCGGGTAAAAACGCAAAGTTTAGAATACATTGTTTTATTATATACTTATATATATATATATATATATATATATATATATATATATATATATATATATATATATATATATATATATATATATAACTATCTCTGACCGGCGCGCACTAAACGTCGTCTGGATGCTGGATACCCTAACCGCAGATTTATATGTCCAGTGGTTGCACAGTGGTCGAAATTCAACCGTATCTCATTAATTTAAGTTTGTATATTATTTTAACTTATTGTTTTTGTATATTAAGCAAACTGTTTTTCACTTTAGACTGCGCATTAATTAATATACACATATTTCTAATTATAAAAAAGTCCAAACGGCGTATGTTGCGTAGTTTTGACCAGGGAAGCACCACGCTATTACGCTCAAGCGTAATACGCAGTTTAATGCTGATGTTTCCTTTTTTACTTACTTTTTTACTGGAAACGATGCATTCCATCTTAGTTCTCAGGGGTGTCGTCAACGTATCTACATTTTGATTCTAAATCGATGATAGATATAGTATAATATACATAATGATTTTTAATTAAAATGTTTTACGCAACTATTAAATTTTGTGCTTAGGTGGAATGGACAGCATGGGAAACGATGGAAGAAGTTTTCATCAAAATCAACGACCGACCACAAGTCAGTATATATTGTTTGTTTTCATAATATTTACTCAACAAACACGTAACATTTATATTTCATAGGTTTCCCAGGGTTTTCTTGAAATGTAACGTAGAAACGAAATTAACTTTATTTTCTCAATAAAATTAATTTAATACATATGCGCACGTTACTTTTAATACGAAAAACGTTAAGTTTACTTTTTAATTTATTGTCTACAACTATACAATGATGCAGTGTCACAGGTTTTTGTATATTTAAATATGTATTACAATAATTGCCGAATACAAATAAATACTATTTCTTTCATATGCAAGAAGTTTTATACCGCGAAATTGTAGAAAGTTTCATCAAGAAGAAACATTATTGAAAGTTGTTTCATATAATAACTGTATTTTTCAAAAATGCATGCAAACTGGCTCATTTTTGACAAAAAAATTATACTTATGTATATTCAGGTGTAAACATAAAAAGTATTTTTAATTAAAGAATTATAGTTTTTTTTAATACCTTTGAAGTTGAAGTTTTACTTCAACAAGCAATAATTTTATTTTTATGAATATTTTTTTTGATGATTTAATACCAACGCATAAATTATATTTTTTTCATAGTAATTTTTAATTTAGATTTTAATAAAATTTTCGTAACTTCTATTTTTTAAAATTCTAAAAGTATTTTTAAATTAAAAATAATTTTCAAAACTAAAATCTGAAATTGTTACAGTGGGCATAGACAATCGCGCTCTCCGCAGTGACCTGCTGTACGCCGCGGATTCTGTCACTAATGCTATGTCCACACTTGTTCGTGAACTTAACTCTGGTCTGTATTCAACTTTACCAGAGAGCACATTTTTAATGTTTTCAATAGTTTAGACGAATATTATAGCATTTTTCTTTTAAAATTATATTTAGTATAATCGAAATATATGTTTCACATGCATGCTTTATAAATTTAATTAAAAGTATATTACAACTGGCACGATAGGGTTGCATGTTCCTTACATTGAAATGTAATTTTATTTTACTTTTAAACGTGCATCATAATATTCTTTTTACTTAAATAAAATATAAATATTTAAATTTAAAATTATTCCTAATTCTCTTACAAAGTTGTATGAAATTTTGTTGCATACAGCTTATATTTATTATTTATTACATTTTAATGTAAACTCGAGTGTTTAGTTGTTTTATGTTCATAAATGTTTTGCAGAGAGTGACACCGAGGACACGGTCAAAGGAGGTTTGGACGCTAGAAAACAAAGAGGTTAGTTTTTATAGATATTCCAATGTCCATAAAAAAGTTATTATAAAAATATACAGTATCCGAATTACACGAAGGTTCTTTTACTTGTTTGTCTTACAATTTAGTCTATATTCAATGATTTTGAATGTATTTTATTTAATACTTCATCAGTTACTGAAATATCGATAACTTTGTGTATAGCATAGCACAGATATTACGATTTTAGTACTTATTCTCGTTTTGCATGAACACGCATGACTACGATATTGTATGTATTTTGTAACTTTTATTCTAATTATAAAAATATGAATAAACGTTTAATAAAACAGCCTAGCCGAAATCATCTTTTGGCGTGATCCAATTTTTTCCCATGCAGTACACTCACTTTCTCTCTCTACCGTAAATGACAATAGAAAGAGATAAGCTTAGATATAATACTTAAATTAAGTAGGAAATAGCATATTGATGTGGGTTAAAAAATAATGATTTTACGTCACACTTCATATTAGAATTGAATATTTACACTAAATAATTAAAACTAATATTGTAATTAATTAATAATTAAAATTAATTAGATAACATCTGCGTGAAAAATAATTTATCTTACCTACTTTGAAAAACACCTCCTGCTCTCCTTCAAACGTGTTGAGTATGGGCCACAGCATCCACTTACCATCAGGTGGACTGTGTGCTCGTTCGTTACCCTTATTCTATATTTAAAAAAAAGCTGGAGATGATAAAACGCACTGATATAATTCAACATACATATATTTTATATTTTGATACCTATTTACGGTATTCAAACAGGCGTCATTTGCTCGATGCATTTTTCCGTCAATGCGGTAACTTGAAGAACAGTGTTAATTTATTTCAAGAACATGGTTTTCGTTGGTCTCTGGTACAGCTATGTCCAAAGTCAGGACGATGTTTAGTGAATGCCACTAAACATGGTACCTGCATCTTGGGTTTATTTCTTTTCATTTTGGTAACGCCAGTTAACAATCTAATTTATAAATCTAATGGAATACTTGGTACATAACTTTAACCCTTCCCTTCCCTAATCCTTCCTATATGCACGTATAGCCGTTGAAGGCGACGCAAGCGCCACGCAACGGCAATTTTTAATCGAATAATAACCGCAACCGCATACCGCACGAAGGACTAGTAATTTCGCGAATGTGATGCGCTTTCCGCGATTATAATAAGTTAAGAGTTAAGGAGTGTGACATCCTAGAACTGATCTAAGAGTCCGTGCGCCGATCCACGTGGCGGACCTGCTGTGTTAACTGATACTCCGGGAGGAAGGCGAGGCAGTCCCTCACAAGGTTAGTGCGTGCATTCCACTCTCATCCACTTTCCTTGCTCTGCTTGTTGTATGTACCAATACAGTCCACAAATCTTTATCGAAGAACCCACGTTACAGGCGCGTCGACATTTCAGTATCATTTCCTATAAAAGGACGATAATAAGAGACCTCATTTTGCATCGGTAGTAGATAAAAAAATGTCTTTGGACAAAGGGAATTTTAATTTTATATAACACAAATCAAAACACGCTTATATGTAAGGCAGAAAAGGAACTACCTAATGTGGTTACTTTTCTGCCTCACATTCGTCTGGGTAGATTTTTACCTATTTCTGCGTCTTCGTACTAAGTGTTCCAGTCTAAAGGTTAAGTATAATTACACACTTAGAAGTCTTTACCTTAGTCCTGAGAGGTGACGCATCTGTATCCTAAGACAAACAGCTAACCATCAGCAGATAATTTGGGTGACAATAAATTCCAACAATGGACCAAAGAAATGTAATGAAGGTATAATAAAATGAATAATGTTATTGCTTCAGATTTCGAAGAGGATGAAGATAGCGACGAACCAATGCCGCGTCCGCAACCGCCCCGCCATTATATTCACGACAATAACGTGCAGGTAAATTTGAGAGTTTGTTAAAATTCTTTACTACCCCCCAAAAAGTAAAGTCCAGTTCAGTTACTGTTCGCGCAGGGTAAGAATAGAATTAAGTTTACTGACAACTTCACCCTCTAAAGGAAACTTTTATTAAATGAAACTATTTTTACAGATTTTATCGCGTTTAATTTAACTTTTTAATTCCAGACGTATGGGGTGCTTTATAGCACCCATGGTCACGGGGGGTACTAAGGTGTTTGACGTCGCGATGTCATAGTTAGCCCGGCTACCTTCAGTTTTACCCGAAACGTCGGGAATTAAAAAGTTTAATGTGTAGTCTTCGCGTAAATATAAGAAATCATTACGAAAATCTTATGACAATGTCATGGCTCGCTTTCATTTTAAGATTACTGTTTTATTTATTTTAAGTATAATACAACAAAATTTATTATAATATGTATTTTAGTTGTACTAAAATTGAGTGAGCAATGCAAAGCAAAATATCACTTTGACACGCCTAATTTTGTCGCGCGTATATCGCGGAAAGTTTGACATTCAAGGTTTCCGTTGTTGTACTTACACGAATCTACCGTGTAGTTGCGGTGACAGATTGTCCAGTACCCCTTATTGTCCAGTGGTTGTTGAAAGATGCGACTGAGGGAAGCTGAAACTGGAGATGGGCAGCAGCATCTGCCTGATAACAACTCAAAATAATATAATTTAAAATTAAATAATTTGTACAGCCGACTTCAATATAAGTTATTAAGAATAACTCAAAAACTATTGGTCTGGCCTTGATCAAATTCATATGGGACCACACGACTGGTACATGCTTTCTAATAAAAAAAAATTATCGAAATCGGTTCACCCAGCAAAAATAGTTATGAGGTACATAAAAAAAACATACAGTCGAATTGAGTACCATCTCTTTTTTGGAAGTCGGCAAAAAACCACTTCGGTTGCCGTGGCAACTATGGCTTTATAGGCTTTTGTGGATGTAGGTTATGTATTTTTTTTTTACAAATTTTTCGCTTTTAATTAGGTTTATTTTATAAGCAGTAGAGTATTAAATGCCTTTATCCCCTCGTAAACATGGATGCTATGAACTATCCAAAACACTAGAGATTCAAAGTATGTAGCTCTACCCATTGCTCTCACCACAATACTAAAGGTTAGCTGGCAGAGAATGCCTTTTTGGCATTAAGTTCGCCTTTGTACCAAATGTTTGTTTGCAATAAAGAATTTTCTATCTATCTATCTATCTATGTATAAAAATTATAAATACGATAAAATTCATAAAAATAGCTTTATTGAATGAGTAAATATTATACAGAAAGAAGTGATATCATTTTTAAGTTAAATTTCAATTTTGTTGATTTTTTTAGTATTGCATGCATATTATCCAATATTTTATTTTGCTTTCAGAACGTTACGCCTAGCGTTATTACACAGTCTTAAGTTGCTTGCAAGTTTAGTTTGAGGTTTGTTTAATTTTATTTGTTCATTTTATTTCTGTGTGCGCTTTATTTTTTATTGTTTTGAAATTTTATTTGATTTATATTTTATAAAGCCACGATAGCAACTCGAGTTTGATCCCCACTGTCATTCATAAAATTGTTAATTGCAATTTAAATTACTAATTTACGTGCTGAGTGGTGTAGGTAAATATCATAACGCAACCTGCATGTCTGAGAAAAAAAAAAACGTGTGCAGTTCTTACGCGGTCGAAGTGAAACATTCAGAAAAGGAGACCGAGATAATAGGAAACACAGTATACTTTCTGTATACTGTATATAGCGGAGCTTCCCTAACTGTGCGACGGTAGATAGAGGTAGAAGGTAGGCAGAGGTCGACTGGAAAGGGTCATATTGACTGGGTTAGAAACCTTTTCCAGTCCACCTCTTCATCAACACTTTCGACAAAGGAAAAAGAACAATTAATAGAATTGTCCTGTGACTCCAGCGTTAAGCTCCAATACGACAAAGACAAACTGCTTGAATTTTGGAGCTCAGTTTCTCACGAATATCGTGCCATCAGTTATGCAGTATTGAGGGTTCTATTACCATTTTTTTTTATAGGAGAGGGGGCAAACGAGCATGCGGCTCACCTGATGGTAAGTGACTACCGCCGCCCATGACACTGCAACACCAGGAGAATCGCAGATGCGTTGCCGGCCTTTTAAAAAGGAGTAGGCTCTTTTCTTGAAGGTCCCTAAGTCGTATCGGTCCGGAAAAATCGCTATTGGTAATCGATTCCACAAGGAAGTTGTGCGAGGGAGAAAACTTCTTCTGAATCGCACAGTGGTCAACCGCCAATCATCCAGATGATATGGATGGAATCGCGAGTTTTGTCGCGATGTGCGATGGTGAAATTGAGCGGCTGGAATTAGTCCGAACAATTCCTCAGAGCATTCCCCGTGATAGATGCGATAAAATAGGCAAAGAGATGCAACATCTCTACGCAGTGCCAGTGAGTCATGCCGATCGGAAAGAACTCGGTCGTCGACGATTCGAACCGCTCTGCGTTGGATGCGGTCAAGTGGAAGGAGCTGGCACTGGGGAGCCCCTGCCCAGAGATGGGAACAGTATTCCATGTGAGGCCGAACCTGCGCCTTGTAAAGTTGCAAGCGGTGTGCCCGCATGAAATACTGTCCCGCTCTGCTGATCACGCCAAGCTTTTTAGAGGCCAATTTGGCCTTCTCTTCCAAGTGACCACGAAACTGCACGTCACTCGATATGTCGACACCGAGGATACCGATATTGGCTGAGGCAACAAGGGGATTGCCTTGAAACTGAGGAGATACGACAAATGGATTCTTTTTAGCGGTAAACGCGCAAACTTGTGTCTTCTGGGGATTGAACTGGACTAGATTTAATCGCCCCCAGTCTGAGAGTCGTACAACAAAGTCTCGACTTCAGACACAAGTTTGTTCCGGTACTTGGCGACGTTTTTCCGAGAAATATTGGCACGGCCGGTGTCTGCATAGCAATGAATGTTACTGGTTTGCAACATATCATTGATATGGAGAAGAAACAGCGTTGGTAATAGCACGCAGCCTTGTAGAACACCAGCGTTAATGGGCTTGTAATCGGAGCATGCACCGTCTACTACGACCTTGATGCTCCGATCTGCAAGAAAACTTGTTATCCAATTGCACAATTTCTCAGGAAGCCCATAGGAAGGCAGCTTCGAAAGAAGCGCTTTGTGCCAAACCCGATTGAAAGCTTTCCGTATGTCCAAACTAACGACCAACGCCTCCCCCTTGGACTCCACTGCCTTCGCCCATCTATGAGTCAGGTAGACCAGAAAATCACCAGCTGAGCGACCTCGACGGAAACCGTACTGGCAGGCACTGATCAGCTGGTGATTCTCAAGGTACCGCATGAACTGGTTGTTAATAATCGTTTCCATTACTTTGGAGAACAAGGAGGTGATAACTATAGGCCTGTAGTTGGAGGATCTGAGCGGTCGCCTTTTCTAGGGATCGATTGCGCGATACAGGCATTTCTGCAGTTGCAGTAATAAAGAACAACTAGAGATCGAAAATAAATGTAGAGACAGAGATGAGAGTGGCAATTTTCAAACTTGAGCTACGTTTTGAGAAGCTATGCTCAGAAAAGCAAGCACATCCTTCTCATTAGTAACCAGCCAACAAATCTCAAAAAAAAGTATCTCTTTTCAGTTTTGTTCTTTGCTTTTTTTTTCTTATTATTAAATAAAAATTATAAATGTTATTTGCAGTTTTTCTCTTGTTACTAGGCTAGAATTACAACTGGTAGATATTTTTTGGCCAGAGGAGGGGCGACAAAAAAGTAGCAAATTCTCAAGGGCGTCACAGTAAAAATAAGTTTACGAAGCCCTGGTATATAGTATATTCTACCTCATTCTCTAGCAGACTAAATTCTATAGACGTATATTGCACGGCCCATAACGCGAAGCGTTATTAGGTACTGTCTTACTCTCTACACGTCAAGGTCAAGCAATTTTGTGGTCTTAAAATACCTTTATCACAACCATATTGCACTTATACCATAATATGAGTAGCCGTATATCAAGAAAACACTACTTAATCTGTCTTATATTTTATTAAAAAATCATTTTATATTGCTCCTTTGATAATGAACGATTTGAAAAAAAATTAAGTGGACGTCCGGATGTTGATTTGGTGTGTTTTCATGATAACTCCCGAAAAAAATTACTGAAATTTGAACGGTTCCCTATTTCATACCAATAGCCTATCTAGTACGCGTCGTTTGTTAGTAAATGATTTTCAAGTTTTATAAGTTTTATTGCTATTAAAAATTTAAAGGCGCTCTCATTTTTTCAACTTCAACCTAAATCGATTTAATACTTTGTGTAATCGATTTATTTTGCTAATTTATATTTTTCATCAAAACTAAATGAAACGCTCATGAGGCGTGCACTTTTGGATTTTTCAAACTATGTTTGTCTCTTTTTAGTATAGCTTTTTAGTTTCATCGACTTTCAAATCGCAACGATTCCAAAGAAGTTTTTATTTCAATAATAATATTTGCGTGGTCGTGTGGCACTCAATGCGTCGAAATGATAGCGGTGCGACGATGAAACGAACGTATAGATTCACTCATAGCAGTATTGTGATTTGTGTCAACTAGGGTTTAAGCTACGCTTCGCAAGCAAACTGACGTCTCGCATCTTTAACATTTTTTCTTCATTAATCATCACTTCATTCACATTTGTCATTACGAGACGACGGTGTACAACCACGTTCATCGAAGTAATTTTTTATAGCATGGGTGTGACAAACGAGCACACAGTTCACCTGATGGTAAGTGGATGCTGTGGCGCATAGACATCTACACTTATCTTCGATTAAGAATCAAAATGCAAATGCGTTGTCACCCCCTAGAACTACGATGGAATGCCTCGTTTTCACAAAAAAGAGTCTCCGGTTCACTACTCCGGTATTCTCAGAGAGCGTTGTCCTTCCCTGGATCAGCAGACCCATTCGTACTACAGCAGTAATATAGTGGCTCTATCGCGTAAAAAAATAATTTGCTTTAATTCACTCTATTATATACATATATTTGGAGAGATGGAGTCTCTTTAGCATAATTTGTTTCACCACTCTCACCACCGATTGTACGTTAAAGGATTATCTCTAGGAAAATTTTTATGTCTCATGAAAATTCTAGTGCATAACCCTCTCCGAAAAGAAAGGTCTGTGCCCAGATGTGCTACGTATATATACGGTAATTTTTCTCTGTCTTTAAACATTATAAATTCTTTCACTGTCCTTTTACATTCATTAATAGTATATTAATTTATTTAAAAAGTTAAAATTACAGCCTATATACGGCACAGGCCTTCTTTCATTTCTGAGAGGGTTTTAGGGCAAGGATATATCCGCCGCGCCGCCCCAATGTGTTGGTGAACTTCACGTGTCTTCGAAATATTTTTTTCTTATTTCTCAGACATACCCTGTTTAATTATGATGTTTTCCTTCACCGCCAAGCACGTGGTGGTAAATCAGCACACAAAATTGCAATTAACAATATCATAGGTGCCTGCGGGGATCGAACCCGGGTTGCTCGCATACTGTGAAAGTTACAGTGAGCGCTAAACATCTGAGCTACCAGCACAATATATTTAGTAATATATAATATTATGTTTATATTCTTCCAGGACACTCCACCACCGCTTCCAGCCCGCACCGGTCACTACTTCCCTCGTACATAGCTCCTTAAGTCTCGTTGCCTTCTAATTAATGAATGTGACATATATTACTTATTTATCGACATAATTCTATTTTATTTTATTCATACATTTCTATTTATTAAATGATAACTATATATAAAATAGGTTTTGAAGTGTTTGTTAGGATATGGCCTTGTAAAACGGTTAATTATCGATATATTTTCAACGTCAACTTTAACCTTACTTTTCTGAAAGTGATTACTCTCTCTAGAATCAAAGAATAATGATTACAAGCGGTTCTGCGTATGTATTAATATTCGAACCGTAATATAGCATCTGTAAATGGTTTTCTTTCTACATAATGTCTGATTATCTAGCTAGGTACTTGATGTTGACTTATTAAATAAAATTGAAGATACGTATAAAATCATTCCCTATGTTATTTTTCTATGTATTGAACAGATAAACCATTATAGTTTTTACCTAATCTATTATACATTGAATAACACGTAGCAAAAATATTTTAATGTTGTACATTTTTATAATGAATAAATAATAAATAAACATCCGCTAGTTTTGCGTGTGTTGAAATAGGTTATGTAACTACATGCATAAAGAAAATATGAAGAAAGAAAAAGGTTTTGTTAAATTACATTTGCAAGTACTTTATGTGGGCAACACTGAAATGTTGTGACATCATACATGCCAATACTTACAGTATGATACAAATTGTTTTAATATTTCAAACAAGTAACTTCACCTGTATACATACAATAGATAATGTTTAGGAAATAAGTATAGTTTCCGCGTTACAAAAATATTTCAATAAATAAATTTGAAGTTAATTAATGTTCTAAAACCGTTTGGATTCGTTCCAACATCACCATTCACATTATGATCTGAAATATAATGAAAGTGTTTGTGTTCTAGTTTGTATTTTTCTGTTAAGATTTTTTTTTAATAGTTCCAAAGTTACTTAATAATTAAATGGATTAAAATATTATATACATAATAAGGTTGAACATGCTTACTATTTCTAGTCCAGGCTATAGATAGTTTATTTATTCAATAGTTAAAAATAAATTGCGTTTAAATTTCATTGCTACAGAAAAAAATAATGTGTAATATTATGCGGATGTAACCACTACACACTTCTTTTACATGAACTATTCCGTTCCTGTCTTCCATTCGTCAATTTCTTCCAAAATGTACAAATATGTCAATTGATACTTCCCATATCATTTTAACTATTCAACTACCTTTTCGAACACAGATAATAGCCAAAAAGTTTGCATAATTTTTTTCTTTTGATTTATAGTACCAACATTTTTTTTTAAATTTAAGAAGATATGTACTTGTCACACAAATTAATCCATTGCCAATCATTGATTATAACAATAAAGGGAAGATACGGTACTAAACCACAAAAAGTGGACCACGAACACAATATTAGTGGCACTAATATTGCGTACGCTGTTCTCGAAAAATTATTCATGGAATAGTTATCGAAATACCTTCCTGCTCACTTCACAAATGTGCAAATATTCAGACAATATAAAAAGTCACTCGGAATCACTTTTCATTTGTAAGAACTTAGTTTATTTTTTTAATTTTGGAAGCATATATTTACGAAATAAAATTGACCGGTCATGATTGGGAAGCAAGATTAGTGTGTAAGTAGCGGCACGAAAGTCTAGCGGTGACCGTTATTGCGCACAAGTTGCGCTGATAGGCTTATTGTGTATAAGTCGCGCTGATTGGCTCGTGCGTATCGTTCGCACGCGCTGATTGGCTCTCCAGTCGTATTCGTGCAATTCAATTCATGCGCGTCCCCTCCACGTTTCGTTCAGCGCTAGACTTACGTGCGGTGACTTGTAACTTGCTTCTGTTGTTTTCTTTTTCAGTATGGGTTAGTGTGAGATCGTAGTGCGCGTAGTCCAGTTTTCGATTATACAACGATCGGGCACGCAGTATCTTTTCCATTTTATTTTATTGTATATATCAATGCTCCCATTATTTGTTTTGGGCATAATTTCGGACGTGCCGTATCTTCTCTTTTTTATATCAGTGCTACCAATACTAATTTTAGGCTTAATGTGCATGTTTGTTTTGCCTTTTCTCTAAAAATATCAAAGCGAAGTGAATTTGTAACCACTGTTGAGCGTATAAACAATTGTTTTTCAAAATTGATTTATTTTATTAGTTACTCATAATTAGCAAAGCTTCTTGAAGACTGAGAATATAGAAACGGCAACTCCACCGATTTTGCGGAAATACCAAATTCCAAACCAAAAGATTGCTTTAGCTTTTACGTGGTGACATTGTGTTCATATTGACCGCAGCTACTGTGAGTTTGAATTCAGACTTAGGTTAGTGTTAATTATCCTAGTAGGCATAATATTTACCTTTATTTTAACTTTGAACTAGTTTTTTTTTAAAACGTTACCCCCACACTAGGATTTTCTCCTGTATCGTGGAGGCAGTTTACAAACATAGATTGCACGAGGACAAACATCCATATCCGGAACAATTATTTGTAGGCCATAAAAATACGTTTCCGTGCGGGATTCGAACCCGCGGCCCCCAGCGCACTAACTCATTGCTAAGCCACTGCGCCATGGAGACGTCAAAAAGAGTTTTCTCATATACCCATTCTAAAAATTAAATTAATTGACCGTCTGATCTAGGAATCGTTGAACAAGTAGCGTTTGCTTGTTTTTAAATATTACACACCTTTTATCAAATAAGGTAAAACCCGTTTTATTTGTTATAAGAATGATCTGTTTAAGTATAAGGGATGGGTTGTGCAGGATTTTTATTTTTTACTAGCTGTGCCCGCGGCGTAGCTCGCGAATATAGGTTTTACTTAAAGAATTTGACGTTTAGGGTAAGAGAATATTAACCGATTTATATCATTATGATACGATGTTAAAAATTAAAACTTTGATGTTTTAACATATGTCAAACATCGAAACATCGACGTCAATGAACCCATAATCGATAATTGTGAACTTGTAAACAATGCGAACTCGCGAAATCAATATCAACTAAATCTTGCATCTGCTTTGAAGATTAAAAATTTTGAATAATTCAGAATTTCCGAACGCATCGTTAATCTAAAAAAATGTCAGTATGGTGAGTCAAACTTAATTGTTAAGTGTCTCCTGTAATGTCACAATGGTCACTGCTTTCGCTTTATTTTGTAGTGTCGTTGTCGGTTGTCGCATAATAACTATTCTACATAAATTATTATTCAACCCACATAATTTTAAAACAATGTGTAAGTATCTACACATATACAAAAACCATCGATAATGGTCAACATCGATGTTTTGAGTAGCCTAAACATCGAACATCGATGTTGAGCTAGCGATGCCAACATCGATGTTATTATCCCTATCTTAAAACTGAAGCCTGAGCCGTGGCTCAGGCTTCAGTTTTAAGATAGGGATGGTTAGCGCTCGCTGTAAGCTTCACAGTACTCGAGCAACCCGGGTTCGATCACCGCCGGCACCAATGAAATTGTTAATTGCAATTTTAAGTGCTGATTTACCACGTGCTCGGCGGTGAAGGAAAACATCGTGAGGAAACCTGCATGTTTGAGAAATAAAAAAAATATTTCGATGACATGTGAAGTTCGCCAACGCGTATTGGGGCAGCGCGGTGGACATTTCCTTGCCCTAAAACCCTCTCAGAAATGAGAGGAGGCCTGTGTCCAGCAGTGGGACGTAAATAGGCTGCAACTTTACTTTACTTAAAACTGAAAAAAAAAGTTATTTGGTATTAGAGGGATTCTGTGTATAAAACAATATCACTATCACGACATTTATTGCAATTTTGCTACTTTTAGTCGGGTTTTCGAGTTTTGTTGAATAAATACATATTTCAGTACCTCTGTATATATACCTTGCAGGCTTGCAACTTCGTCAGACTCATGGACATAAATTAGTACAGTGAGTCTCAATACGATTCACCTGCGAAAAATCTTAACACCGCAATTCAGAAAAGGTTGTAATTTGTACAACGCCATCTATTACGTTCTTTGTGAGAAAACATCCTTTTTTAATGTAATGAAAACATATATTTACTGTGTTTTAAGTACTATAATAGAACGATACGAAATATATTATAATAGAACGTTTTTTTTTTACACACGAATCTTTTTATTACTATTTCTGGGATTTTGTGGCGTCATTAAACAAATTCGAACCTACATTTCAAAATAATAATCATTACTTTCGATAGAATTAACCAATTTTAATAAAACAAAGATTAAATGTAACTTGAAGATACGCTTTATGATTTTCTTAACGATTTCTTTGAAAAAAAAAAAGATGTTTACTTTAGACGTGATGCATTCATATAAAAACAGACAAACAGACAGACAGACAATTCTAAAAATTATAAAAATGTACTTATTTAATTATTTTTAGTTCCCCATAATGATTTTAGTCACCAAAATATATATACAATGTACAGAAAGAGACACAACATGTTATCATCATTTTTGTTATATGTATATATTTAATTAAAGAGAGATGGCGCTGCTAACATCAACTTGATGACTCAAACAAAGCCACCGTTGAGCAAATTCCCTACCCATACTTCAGAATATTTATCATAACTTTTGATGGAATGAACCGATTTTAATGAAATAAAGACTAAATGTAACCCGAAGGTACACTTTAGAATTTCCTTAACAATTCTTATGATATAAATTAGTACTTTAAACGTGATACGTTAACAAACAAACAGACAGACAGACAGACAGACAGACAGACAGAAAATTCTAAAAATGGTAGAAATGTATTTAATTACTTATTTTTAGTACCCCTCAACCACTTTTATTACAAAAATATAAAATGTACAGACATCTGCTATTTACAGTTTTATTATATGTATAGATTTTATCAGACTTCTGGCCAGAATTTTTTTCTGATAGAAATTTAATTAAAAGCATACTATGATAGAGCTTACTTTTTTGTTATTTTGTTACGTTTTTAGAGTAAGAAAGCGGTTGCATATCAATTATTTTTAGGATTTTAAGTGCAATATCAGGATGCAATTGGTTGAATACCTTCTTGCCAGCAAATTGTGATGTATGAAATTTTGCTTTATTTAATAATATATTATGTCGGAAAAACATAAAGTGAAAAGGAGAGCTCAGTTTTCAATCCAAAGCGTTTAGTCATATTGTAATTAGTTTTAAGATCATTTGTACTTATTTTTGTCACCATAGACTTAATTTTACACCGACTTAAATCTCCCGTAGATTATTTCCATATTTTTAAGTAGATATAATTGTTCAAACGAATCCAAATACCTTATTTCATAAATCACATGCATATATATATATATATATATATATATATATATATATATATATATATATATAATGTTAAAAATAACATATACTTTCGAGTATATTAATATTTTATACAATTCATATAATATAAGGTTTCGTAGAGTAGCTATATAGATATATTATGTATAATGTTCTTAAGATATATAAACTATATAACTATAATATAGTATGGGAAAGCACAAAACTCCGTTTCTATTGTAACGTCTTGTCGTTTTTATATAAACTACAATTTTTTATCAGTGTTGTATACGGTTACATGCGTAACGAACGTATGTATATTGTACCTTATAATCATGTATTTTATGCGGTGTTTTGTATTTGTGTAAAAAAACGCTAGAATAAAACGGAAAAGCGGCTGTGCTTCCTGTTGTGTTGGCGGAACAAAGGGATTATAATGGCGTCGGTGTGGCTTTAAGATGAGTGTATGCTATGTAATAATTAAAATTGTTTTTAAAAAGTCATTTTACTTGCTTAAGCAATTATTCTCTAGTAATTAATAATTATTTTTTTATTAAAACAACAGCAATATTATAAAATAGTAAATATGAATTTCACTTCTAAATATTTTGATAAAAGCTGGGTAGCGTCGTTTTTTGTATTGACAGCGACGAGTAAGGTTGTGAAAAGCAACGAAAGGATGGATCCTAGAGAGTTTATCCATCGAAGAGAGTTATAATTTTTTTATTGGATACAGTAGGCAAAGCCGCCTTTCCGATTGAGTGTTATAATCACAATCTATAATGTTGTAAGGACTGTGTCTTTGCAATTGTATACATTCCATTGCTTGTGATCTTGTCTTTTATTTGTTAAACCCTAAAATATTTTCCAAAATTACCATGCTAGCCAAATGGCACGTGTCCATACGGAAGTAGAACAAACACATCCAAAGTCCACTGCTAAACATAAACCTCTCCCATAAATTACCTCATAAGAATGGATCCGTATGAGGTGATTTTATTATTATATTATATATATTTGCCATAGTTGCCACTCTTGGCAAGTAGATAGGCAACCGCAATTTTTTATTCTTTTGAATAGTTCTCTGCCCATCTCCTATTTAATTTCCTTCTGTAGCCTTTTACGACACCCATGTATATTGGGTATCAGTTACTCTTATATCGCCACTACGTTATACTGTCACACAAGCACATACAGATACAGAGAATATAAATGTTGTAAAGTTACAGCCTATATACGACGTCCCACTGCTTTGCACAATGCCTCCTCTCATTTCTGAGAGGGTTTTAGGGCAAGGAAATGTCCGCCGCGCTGCCCCAATGCATGTTGGCGAACTTCACGTCTTAGAAATATTTTTTTCTTTTCTTATTTCTTAAGCATGCAGGTTTCCTCACGATGTTTTCCTTCACCGTCGAGCACGCGATAAATAATCGTTGAAGATGATACAAGTATCGTGGATACAGTCTCTCAAACACACACATACAGAGAATATTAATTCTAAAGCAGACACAAATACCGTCGGTACTGTTACTCATGCGCTTACAGATACAGGGAATATTGGTGGTGAAGCAGATACAAACATGAGTATTGTAACTCAAGCACTTACGAATACAGATAATATTAATTCTGAAGGAGATTCAAATACCGTGGGTACTGTTACTCAAGCACTTACAGATATACAGGGAAAATTGATATTTCTTAATAATTTATATTGACCGACTTCAATATAAATTATTAAGAATAACTCAAAAACTATTAGCCAGACCTTCATCAAATTTATATGGGACCAGATAAGAAGCACCAGCTTTCAAATAAATGGATCATAGAAATCAGTTCACCCAGAAAAAAAGGTTATATAAGGTAACACACAAAAAAAACATACAGTCGAATCGAGTACCTCCTCCTTTTTGAAGTCGGTAAAAAAAGAAAACTTTGTTATTTAAATAGTAAAAATAATACTATCAATATTAAAAACTCACAGATTTATTTCCATATCCTTGTTTTTTTGGTACCCCTGCATTATTTTAAAAATTTAATTACTTATGGCCAAATACTCTAAACGCTACTCAATTTTAAAATGTTATTTAAATTAAGTTTCGTGGTGTCACACTCACTTAAAGTGATAGAGATAGCACGATATTTTCAGCATCTTAAAATCGTTTGAGTATTTGGGCATTACAGTTATACAACATAAAATCATGATGATGTGCATTCTACTGCCAGTCTTATGCAATATCCAGATACCAGACTTATTATCAATATCATAATTTATAACAAAATTATATAATTAACTTAATTTTAAACAGATTGATCAAGAGTAATCAATATTTTATTTTTATTTTAGACGTTTATACAGTGCTATTTTTCAAAGAGTAGCCAAATTTTATATTTAAGTTCAAATCTATAAATAATGATATACCGTTATTGCAGTTTTTAAAATACGAGTAAATAATGCTTCTACATTTATTTGAAATTATCCGAAATTGAACGTGACTTTTTTTGTGGTAGAGCCATGCTGCAGCTATATTAATAGTATAATTGTAGCACGAATGGGTTGGTCCCCTCGACCGGGGAAGGACCACGCCAATTTTAAACCAATGTAAAATAGCAGTTTAATACTGCTGTGTTTCGTATGGTGAGTGTAGAGAACCAGAGACCCATTTTGCTGAGAAAGAGGCATTCTATCTTTGTCCTCACGGCTGACAACCCATCTGCATTTTATTTCGCAAACGAAGATAGATGTAGATGTCAATGGGCCACAGCAACCACTTACCATGAGGTGGACTGTGTGCTTGTTTATCACCCTTATTCTATAAAAAAAAAAACTTATGGGCAACTACTACGCCTACGCGCGCTCCTCTGTGTGCGATCCAATTCCCAGCGTTTTTGGTTTTTGCCGTCCGATCGACCCTTACGAAACTGTGCGTGCGTAGTAAAATAGTAGGCGATAGATATTTATGAATGACATTCAGTTAAAAGAATGCATTATCACGCATTCTGAATTTAAAAGATAATAAGGACAGAATTTGTGAATTTTTTTTAATGAATTTTCCTTCATTATATTATATAACTTATTCTGAACCTTCTTTGCAAATTTGGCCGTATACTGCAAAATAACCCGTATTTGCACTAAGTATCGCGTATAAGCCAAACGCGTCATTCATAAGAATGACGCGCCGTAGTGAGTGCACTTCATCATTATTATCAGGCCTTGTTATGTAAATGAAAGACACTAAAGTGACCTTATTATAACACAAGAACTAATTGGCCCTAATTACTTTTTACATACAATACAAATTTTGTATTAATGCCTGTAGTTGTTTTTGATCTTGGTATATTGAGATTGAATGAAAGATAATTTTTAACATCGGACAACCTCTGATTAACAAATGATTTTACAAATGGCTCTATGCTATTATTAGCACGTATGGGTAAAGTGTGTGTACTTATTAATTTTTCCTTAAGCAAATATGTATTTTCATTGATGCCGTTTCATTTGAGATTACTTACTACAGCAGAACTTAGGTACACTTAGTTTATCTTACTTATTATGATAATGATCCTAAAACCATAAATCTAATTATTTCAATGTCAAAATTACAATTTTATAAATTTGTAATTGATGATACATATTCGCTACGTCACTATGTCAGATGATACAAATTCACTACATCACTAGGTACATTAAATATTTTGGTAAAGCTTAACATTTAACAATAGACTATTGAATATATAATACAGGCTAAAAAACATTGGAACAGTTGAAATAATCTCGCAACTCTTATTATCTACCTTACAACAAAAAATAGTTTTAAAGATCATAGTACTTTGTGGCTTAAACTAGTCCGTTTCATCAAGAAGTCCCGTGGAATATATGTTAATTGTGAACTAAAATGTAAAAAAATAAATAAAGTATGGGATTTGACAGCAAATTTCAAATGTCACGAATACTGTTATGTCGCGGCTAAAATACTTCTTTAGTGACAAAGACTTTTAAACCTGAGACCGTTTTAAGTTTACAATTTAGTCACAGACGCTTCACAATCTTTTTGTTTCTTGTTCTCCGTCCACTTTCCTTTTCCCTTACCCCCCAACTCTGCGTATATCTCTTCCGTAGTTCTCATCTTCGTTTCGGGAACGCAGCAAGCGATATACACGGTACTGAGGAGACAGACCGTCGCGAATATACCGAAGACAAAATGCAAGCCTATAGAGGCTGCTAACGGCTGAAAGACTCTTAGCTCTATCGACACTAAGGCACAAGCGAAGGCGATCACAATAGACGTCACAGTACCGCGGAGCTGAAAAAAGAATTGAATATTTAACCGATTTCTCAAAGTAAACGTGTATTGAAATATTTCGGACAAAATCGAATTTTTGCAATATATTCTATGAATTACAACTATATCCAACTATAATAAGAAGAGATAGAATGTGCTCGGCAGTGAGAGGTTTTACACTTTTACTTTCTTAAATTATAGTGATAGATTCTGTCATTACAAGTCCCTATTCGCTAAGTATCATGAATCTTAAATATTATAATCAATCTGTTAACTAATACTACATTGCTCGGCATGGTCTCTTACCGTAGGGCTAAGTTCCCACTAGTTCGAGTGATTAGTTTAATAGTTCAACTACCTAAATAAATATATAATCTAATAATAAATCCATTTAAGGACTAAGGACTTAGGAAAATAATTTAACTCCTGATTAAATTAAACATTAAATAAAATGTATATTGTATATATCGTACCTATTTATATAAGGTACTTTTTTATGAAGTTATTTTGGAAAATATTTTATATTAACATATTAATAAATATTATTAACTATAGGTCAAGGTGCCAAGCCCTTGGGCCACGCCAAGCGCTTCAAGCCCCGGACATTCTGTAATATGTAATTATTCGGACTTTATCCAAAAATACATGGGGTTCTTTTACCCAGTACACAAATTTTGATTTTGTGTGTTTTTTTTCTTTTTAAATTATTAGTTCAACGATTAAACTGCTCAGTTTTCACGACAGTAGGTTCATCAGACTACTAGAACTGTCACAACAATGTTATTACGCCGGCCCGTCAGATCTTATAAGCAATGTGATTATCCCGCCGTATATCGGAGGCTACTAGATTTTCCAGAGATTTCCCCTAGTCTTAAATGCCACGCCACCTACGGAATGAAATTAATGACGGTGATGCACCCGCTGCTGTGTTTCAGTTTGAAGATATATGAGTTATTATAAATCTGTATTCAGCTTAAACCTGCGCTATGGGACGGAATCTGATTACCTCGTTGGTCGTAAGCGCAACTGCTGATCATGTGATACCAGGTCCGGGGTCGAGCCAAATTTTTTTTATAAATTTCTCAGTAGCAGACCAAGTCAAAAATGTTGGGATGTTTTACCCCCGCACTTTGCAAAGTCGTTGGTTCTGCATCGTGTCGGATTACGGTTCCATCAGACTATGAGTGTGAGGGAAAGTAGAGAGCTCCTGTGTTTGCGCACAAACTAGTGAACTTTAATCATACCTTTCGGTGTCTCCGATGAATGGGCTGAATGATAATATTAGTTGCAAAGGCAGAGCGTTTTATGGAATCTTAAATTACTATTGGCGCTTACCTGGAAGAACATACTCGGTCATGATTACAAAGGGCTGTAGCTGCAGGCCGGCGGTGTCACAGTAGGTGCAGAGATGGATGTCTCTAGTCTTCATAGGCAGCCAGCTCTATAGAATCTAAAAGAAAATGCTACTGGTGCTTACTTGGAAGGAAAACATCTCGGTCGTGATGACGAAGGGCACGGGATACAGGCCGGCGGTCGCAGTAAATGCAGAGGTAGATGTCTCTAGTCTCCATAGGCAGACAGATCTATAGAATCTATAATTAAAAGGTTCTGGTGCTCACTTGGAAGGAGAACATTTCGGTCATGATGACGAAGGGCACGGGCTGCAGGCCGGCGGCGTCGCAGTAGATGCAGAGGCAGAGCGCGACAACGGGGACGAGCGGCAGCGCCGCGCCGGCGCCACGCAGCCAGAACCACGCGCTCAGTGCGCACAGCGCTGCGCCCGACACCAGGCACGTCGCGCCCAGCAACGGCTGCGAGGTTATTTTATTTATTTAAAAAAAATAATTTACATTAAAGCGGATTACCTTAACATAAGCCTTATGAATTTGATTTATTATGGTATTTGTACTGCACAGTTGCTTGTTTTGGCGTGAAACATCTTTTATATCACACCGAAATATACAGGTAAGTGAACGGTAACGAAAAGGTCTACATCGTCTTGCCTTAATAATTACAGAACTGTTAGTCTTAGAGACCAAAATGAATAAGCCGCGAGCTAAAAGGGGTGAATTTTCATTATTCTGCGTCGTTACTGAGTGCTGAGGAGACTAATTAGTCTGTAACTAGAGGCTAAGTTACGGGATTCCTATTACGTCTGCTACTTTTCATGCATCCGGGAAGGAACAGCTGGAAAGAAAAGCGTTGAATATGCCTACTAGGAGGCAAACAAGCGGCGCGGAAAGAGACTTCAGTACCCTGTTGCTAATGCCATCGAGGCCGGGTGCTGATTTCTTTTTAAGGCTTTTGATTACTTCTGTGACTTCGTCGGCAGTCACAGGATCTAACGGGTCGCCCGCAGGTGGTAGTGCAGACTTACTCTTAACCTCCGCTTCGACCTGTGCAAGGTGAACGGGATCTGTGGGTTTGCGAGAAGCAATACATTGGCTCTCTAAACTGTCCGCGAGGCATTCGACCTTTTCAGAATCGCAAAGGCGAGATCGGGGTTTCCTGGCCTGATGAGAGGCGGCATAGATGAGGTTTGTTCTGCTTTCAGAGCTCGGGTCAACTGCCAGAAGGCAGTTGAGATGACTCGATATATCTTCCAGCAGATTATCCGACTTGTCGTGTCTAAACTTTTTGATGCCCTGTTTCACCTCGTTTTGGAGGTTGCGCAGTCGGATTTTGTTATCTATGTACGATAGTGATCGTATGTCTTAAGGCCGCGTTCTTCGCCCTGATCAGCTGCCGAATATCACTCGGAAACTTCACGCCTTCTTGTTGTACTACTAGACAGCACAGGCGTGTACCAAGCTCTCCCACCTTTCGACGGGGGAGGTGTGTGCCTATGACAAACACCTACACACCTAGTGCGTTTGTACGCTAGGGTGTGTACCTAGCTGTTGCCTAATGCAACTAGCAACACAAAAATTAAAAACTATGGCCGACACTGAGGTAGCGGGTGTGTTTCACTCTACTTACGGTTGCCGATACCAGTACCAGGAAGCCAGAAAGGAGAGTTACGCACAAAACACTCTTTACACCACAACAAGCGTTCACTACATTTCACTGTGAGACCGCTATCACCCGGGACAGCGTGCTTCGCGCACCACGGAGAGGGCACCAAAACAGTCATCAAGCATTACAGCGAGGCGTGATGTATTAAAATAAATTTTGCGCATGAGCTAAGAGAGTGGACCGACGAGAGTAAACTCGACCGACACGTCCGAAGTCTACAGAGCCCAAGCGCAGAATCCTCAATCATATATCCAGATTGACCAAAACCGGGGCTCTCTCTCCTGCTGACACTAAAGAGTGTGCCTAGACACAGCCCCACCCGATTTTTTTTTCGTGAATACTGAATAAATCACTGTTATTAAATTTGCGTTCATAGTAGGAAGCAATTCAGAAAACTAATGATAACAAAATCTGTTGCAGTTACTGTTTGATACAATTTGCTGTTGCAGCTACATATCTATCATCTACATCCAAAATTTATTTACAACACTATGGCTAAAGGATCGAAGAAATACTGAGCGAGGACTGTGACCTATCGCGCGCGGTGGAGGGGGGAGCACCGCCATTTTGAGGTCGTGAACGAACGAAACAAGCTGTGAGGCATTCCATCTTAGTCCTCAGAGGTGACAGCGCATCGCTTCTTCATTTGAAGTTGATTGCAGGTGTTCGTGGTCTGCAGTAGCCATTTTTATAGAATAAATATATAATATATGTTAGAATAAAATAATATATTTTATACATGCTAGAGCCACGCTACAGCTATATTATGGTTGTAGCACGAATGGGTCGGCTCGTGTGTTTCTTATGGTAAGTGTAAAGAAGCCGAGATCCTGTTTACTGGAAATGAGACATTCCATCTTAGTCCTTACGGGTGACAACGCATCTGCATTTTGATTCTTAATCGAGATGAGAAGTGTAGACGTCTATAGGCCGCAGCAACCACTTACCATCAAATGGACTGCGTGCTCGTTTGTCACCCTTATCCTATAAAAAAATAACTAATATAGCTGCAGTGTGGCTCTATCACGTATATCTCTACACTCACCATACTAAAGGCAGCAACATTAAGCTGCTATTTTGGTTGGTCTTAGTTTGTAGTGTAGGGTGTGAGTTAGCTCGAGACCGTCGCCACCACAATACCCTATCAAAGTCCACTGCTGAGTATAGGCCTCCCCCATTGATTGCGTCTTAAGGAGAATATTTACCATAGTTGCCACGCTTGGCTGTCGGGTTGGATACTGCAAGATTTTTTTCGTATAATTAAGTTGTTATCAAGAATATGCTGCTCCCATGCTAGCCCATGTTTTAGTTTTTCTCTGTCTCGTCTTACGACACCCACGGGATGATTCAGTTATTGGATTGGATATTCTTACACAGCCAAGTTAGTTTAAGAGTCAAAAATTATTATCGAATACAAGTGGTACAGTATTATCGTGGTAACTCAGTGGCTAAACTTCTATTGCTTTTTTGCAATTTTAAGTGCTGATTTAACACGTGCTCGTTGGTAAAGAAAAACATCGCGAGGAAACCTGCACGTCTGAGAAATGACACAAAAATATTGCGAAAACTAGTGAAGTCTGCCAACACGCACCGGCAGGAGCATCACTCAACAAAAATATTTAAATAAATAGCGGCTCTAATTACGATGCAATAAAGTGCAATTCAGCTCGCACAACGCTGAATGCCTAATATTGTATTTGCCTGCCTACAAGGTGCCTCTCTATCGGGTTTATTTCTTATGACTGTATTATTCTTACGACGCGAACAAGAAACAGGATCCAAGACGATGACGCGAGGCGTGAGTGAGTGAGTGAGCGACAACCAACTAAACATAGAATGAACCCAACGCAGGCCTGCTAATGTCCCCTAATCCCTAGCTTCGCACCTGTATTTGGAGTACTCCTGGCCTGCTCACGTCAACAATACAAACGTATACCATAAGAAATAAAACAGCAGTTATGCTGTTAATTTACCCTGGTACTCTGTGAAAGCATAATACAGCTACTTACTGAAAAATTTCAAGGTTATAATTAAGTGTCAGATAATCTTACTTAAATCTTTACCTTTCTACCAATCCTCTCCACCAAACTCGAAGCGGTGAACGAACCAACTAATTGCACAACACCCAACATAGTGGCCTGCTGGTTAGCGGTTAACACCCAGCTGGAGCTGGCCTGGCTGAAGATCAACGAGGCGAAGTGCAGTACTGCAAGGCAGCCACATAGCTCCCGCGCAAGTGTTATGGTGAGTGTTATGCGGAAGGCGCGAAAGGTGCTGCGGTCCGACACTGGAAAAAATTTTAGACTTATTAAATATCTTAGCAGATAATAATCAGAGCACGTTTCAATAATTTTCATTTATATCGGAATAGATTGATTGATAAGTGTCTAATATCCCACAGGCTAATTAGCCTAGCATAGGATGCAAAGTTCAACAGGGCGCTGAGCTTGCTTTTGCAAGCACCACTTATGAATTATACAGAATATAACTTAAAATTAAAAATTTTGTACAAACGACTTCAATATAAATTATTAAGAATTACTCAAAAACTATTGGTCAGACCTTGATCAAACTTATATGGGACCAAGTGAGAAGCACCAGCTTTTAAATAAGAAAAGAATCATCGAAATCGGTCCACGCAGTAAAAAGTTATGATGTAACACACATAAAAAAAGAAAATACAGTCGAATTGAGTACCTCCTCCTTTTGAAGTCGGTAGAAAATTTAGTATTAATATTCTCAATCACTAATACAAAACAAATAAATAGAATGTAACAATAAGACGGAATTAATTGGTACCTTTCGTCTTTTGTTGACTCACTGGACAAAGAACTGCTTGAGCTATGTTTTCTACCTCTAATTTTATTAAGGTGTAACAAAGCTGTCCAAGGGAACTTCTGTCAGCCATCTTTCCATCTCTGCACAGGAAGAACGATTCACTGGCCAATGCCCTAAAGGATAAAGCCGATCTTTTAGGTTCTCTTTTTGAGTCCAACTCGACTCTTGATGACGAGGGGTAGACACCGTCAACTAACCTGCGGTGTAATTGCTCCATGCTGCATGTGCGGTTTAGACAGCGCTCAGACGGACGTCAAAAAGTCGAGTAGGCCTGATGGAGTCCCTCTTATTTTGCTGAAGATTATATATTTAGATATTGGGTGCTCTGGAGTTAGCACCGGTTCTAACGCATCTTTTCCGGTACTCTTTCTCCTTAGGCATAATCCTGAACTTATGGAAGACAGCTTTAGTGCATCCGATCCCTAAATAGACGACCGCTCAGACCCGTCCAACTACAGGCGTATCACCATCGCCTCCTTGTTCTCCAAAATAATGAAATCCTTGAGGATTATCACCTTGAAGACCACCAGTTTATTCACCGCCATTGCGGTCACTAATCAGTTGGTTCTAGTTCTAATCTTCAATTTGGCCTTGGTCGTTATTTTGAACATAGCGAATGCCTTCGATGGAATTCGGCACAAAGCGTTTCTTTAGCGCTTTTTAGGACCTCAATTGTGCAAAAAAATTGTGCAATTGCATCATCAGTTTTCTTGCAGATCAGAGCATCAAGGTCGTAGTAGACGGTGCATTCTCCAACTACGAGCTTATTAATGCTAGTGTTCCACAAGGCTACGTGCTATCACTCACGCTGTTTCTTTGTGTATCAATTATATGTTACTGTTACTGTAACACTGGTGATGCTTTTTGCACCAGCCGTGTTAATATTTCTTGGGAACTCATCATCGAGTAATGATACAAAATTGTGTCTGAAGTCTAGTCTTTAATAAAAAAAATCTCGGCTTGGGGACGACTCTAGTCCAGTTTAAACTTCAGAAGACGCAAGTTTGCGCGTTATCACTAATAAGAACCCCTTTGTCTATCTCCTGAATTTCAAGGCACTCCCCGTGTTGCCTCAGCGAGCATCGGAATCTTCGGCATCGACATATCGAATGGCGTACAGTTCTGCAGTCACTTGGAAGGGACGGCTAAATTGGCCTCTAAAAAGCTCAGTAGAGCGGGACAGTATTTCATGCCGTCACACCGTTTGCAACTTTATAAGGCGCAAGTCCGCCTTCACATGAAGTACTGTTCTCTTCTTTGGACCGGGGCACCCCAGTGCCAGTTTCTTCCACTTGACCGCATTTAGCGAGAAGTGATTCCAATCGTGAACGACCGAGTTATTTCTGATCGGCTCGATTCACTAACGGTGCGAAGAGATGTTGCATCCCATTGTATTTTCTATCGCATTTTCTACGGGGAATACTACAAATTTTTCGGATTAATTTCAGCCGCCAAATTCCATCAACGCACATCGGGATAAAACTCACGTTACCATCCACACCATCTGGATGCTTGGAGGTCCACCATGACTGCAATTTACTAAGAGTTTTCTTCCTCGTTCTTTCTGGAATCACTACTACCGGCGATTTTTCCGGACTGTTACGATCTAGAGACCTTAAAGAAACAGGCCAGAGTACCTAATACTCGTTTTAAAAAAGCGGGCAACGCGCCTGTAATTTCCCTGGTGTTGCAGTTATGGTCGGCACTTATTATCAGGAAAATTTGATTTAATTTTGTCGACACCGCGGGGTGGAAAGCTAGTAAAATATAAAAATGTAGTAAATATATTCGGGTATGGAGGGAGGCGGGGAGGGAGGGGGGCCCATATTCATAGTTAGCCTAGGACTGTCGGAACTTTAAATCAGGCACTGGCTAAACGTATGTACGTAGTTTGTAACTACGTTAAACGTATAGAATTGACTTAAGTACTAAATATTAATCCAAAGCTCGTGTTTGTTAACTTAATAATTCTTTTTTTTAATTTTCTAATGAAATCATGTGAATTTACAAAAATTAAAAAAAAAACCCGTGAAAAAAATTAAAAATAACGTGACGTAGATATTCGCTCTCACACTTTCACACAAATCGTTGATTATCGCTTTATTAAGTATCAATCAACGCTATCTATACCTGTCTCTGTTTTTTGTAACATAGTGAAAAGAGAAAGAGTATAAAAATATCCCGCGAGAGAGAGAAAAAGAAGGCAACTTTTAGCATTTCTTTATTTTACGTCGATTGTTATCGCGTTTAAGTTTAATTTATTTTTAGTTTTAAAAATTTCGCATACTTCATACCACCCATGGTTACGTGTTTGACGTGTATACATAAGTATGTACTCTAAGAACCTAAGCATATAAGATATGTTAAAATTTAATGCGATAAAATCCGTATTATATAATTAAATTTTATTCAATGTGTAGTATTCGCGTATATTAAATTGCGTAAAACATTACGCGGTATTTTGTATAAAAATTCCCAATAATCATCATTCCCGAGAAACCCTTAAGTAACGTGTTGTCTTTACGTAAATAAACAACACCGACGAAGTCGTTACTGAAACCCAAGAATCGATATTGTTTAGTTACCACTCGTGTCTCGGCGTAATGCCATTTACTTACTGTTAACGCCATCGCAGACTAAAAAGCACAACAAGGTCGTATTTCTTTTCTTATTTTTTTTAAAAACGTTACCCACACAGTAGGATATATTCCAATATAAAAATTTAAAAAAAAAATAACATTTACCTAAAATTTTTAAAACTTCAAAGAACCGTGCAGAGTTTTCCTGCTGCATCTCGAGAAGCAATGCCTGCAGTTCATTGTCCACCGCCGTGTCAGATTGCTGGCGACATCGCAGCCATGCCAACGCTGCCCTCGCTTCCTGAAAAATGTACACTGATATAAAATAGATTTTTCATTTGAAATACTGCGTGCATTTAGTATATTCTGCTCGGCGGTGAAGGAAATCATCGTAAAGACTCCCGTACTGTAAAATACCAGCATGAATGTTGCTGTATTTCGTATGGTGAGTAGAGGGAATTTTTACGTGGAAATTAGGCATTCAATCCTAGTTCTCATGGGTGACAACGCATCTGCATTTTGATTCTTAATCGAGGGTAAATGTAAATGTCTATGGGTCACAACATCCACTTACCATCAGGTGGACTGTACGCTCGTTTGTCACCCATATTCTACAAAAAACCTTTTCGATAGATGATAAGATTAGATTTTCTAATTACAATATAATTTAAGCATAAATATGACAATCAGGTGCACGTCCCCAAAGATTTCAGTATATAGGTAACTTTTTTGAGTTCGTTATGCATAAAATATAAATAAAAATTAACTCCTTACCTCAACTTTGCCACTCTTCAGTAGATATGAGGGCGTCTCTGGCATAATGACGAAGATCAGCAAATGTAGCAGAGGCACCGATAGGCACAACCACAGCGTAGTGTTATAGCACAAATACTCCCCCGCGATGTATACCAGCAGGTTCCCCAAGTTCTGGGACAGCACCACTAAACTACCGAGAGTCCCTCTTATGGAATCTTCGCTGACCTCCTTTATGTATAGAGGTGTGACTACATAGGAGCCACTGACACCAAATCCGACGATCGCTCGTGCTAATATTAATGCCCATGTTTCACTTGAGTAAATCTTTAGAGACCAGCATACCTATATACAAACGGAAAATAATATTACAAATTAATTGAGCCAGGTAACTCGTTCGCGAGCTATATGAACCCCCACCTATAGGCACACATATATTTAGACATAATAACAAAAAAAGGATCCCACCCACAAAAATAATGTTTTGAGATGTTGACGTTTAAAGTTTTAATGGAATAGAATATTTTATTATTAAATAATAAAGATTAAGTGTATTTTTTTTTATTTTAAGCACTGGTTCGGAAAAAACCTCTCGCCTTGAAAGAACCCGCAAGAAACCTAACGGAATTTCTTTTTGAATTAAAATTATACAACAAAAACACATTGTACAAACTACTTACAAAACTTATATGGGAAAAAGATTGTAAGCGATCACCTCATTCCATGGAGTTATTATCCACCATGTATTTATTTACATTTATCCATTTTTGCTATTTAAACTTGGTTATATAGAGAAACCTTGTATATTTTTGGGACTATATTATAAAAGTTATGACTTTTTATTAAAACTACTTATATTTTTGTGAACATACATAAAATATTCGTAAATATTTTTTTTTATAGGAGAAGCGGCAAACGAGCATGCGGCTCACCTGATGGTAAGTGACTATCGCCGCCCATTAACAACTGCAACACCAGGGGAATTACATACGCTTTGCCGGCCTTTTAAAAAGGAGTAGGTTCTTTTCTTGAAGGTCCTTAAGTCGTATTGGTTCTGAAAAATCGCTGGTGGTAATCGATTCCACAAGGTAGTTGTGCGAGGAAGAAAACATCTAAATCGCACAATGGCGGACCGCCAATCATCCAGATGGTGAGGATGTTGAAATTGAGCGGCTGGAATTAATTCGAATTCTCACCCACAGCACTCCCTGTGGTAGGTGTGATAAAAACGCAAAGAGATGCAACATCTCTTCGCAGCACCAATGAATCGAGCTGATCGGAAAGGACTCGATCGCCGACGATTCCAGCCACTCTGCACTGGATGCGGTCAAGTGGAAGGAGCTGGCACTGGGGAGCCCCAGCCCAGAGATTGGAACAATATTCCATGTCAGGCCGAACCTGCGCTTTATAAAGTTTCAGGCGGTGTTCTGGCATGAAATACTGTCCCGCTCTGCTGAGCACGCCAAGCTTTTTAGAGGCTAAATTGGCCTTCTTTTCCAAATGACCACGAAACTACACGTCACTCGATATATCGACGCCGAGGATTCCGATACTGGCTGAGACAACGAGGAACAAGGAACTTGAAACTGAGGAGATACGACAAAGGGGTTCCTTTTAGCGGTGAACACGCAAACTTGTGTCTTCTGAGGATTATACTGGACTAGATTTACTCGCCCGTAATCCGAGATTTTGTTCAGCAAAGACTCGACTTCAGGCACAAGTTTGTTCCGGTACTCGGTGACGTTTTTCCCGAGAAATATTGGCCCGGCCGATGTATGAAGCATCACCAGTGCTGTCATCCGCATAGCAATGAATATTACCGGTTTGCAATATATCATTGAAAATAAACAGAGTTGGTGATAGCACGCAGTCTTGTGGAACACCAGCGTTAATAGGCTTGAAATCGAAGCATGCACCGTCTACTACGAACTTGATGCTCCGATCAGCCGGAAAACTGGTGATTCATTTGCACAATTTCTCGGGAAGCCCATAGGAAGGCAGCTTCGAAAGAAGCGCTTTGTACCAGACCCGATCGAAGGCCTTCGCTATGTCTAAACTAACGTTCAATGCCTCCCTCTTGGACTCGATTGCCTACGCCTATCTATGTGTTAGGTGAACAAGAAGATCACCAGCTGAGCGACCCCGACGGAAACCGTACTGGCGATCACTAATCAGCTGGTAATCTTCAAAGTACCGCTTTAGCTGGCAGTTAATAATGGACTCCATTATTTTCGAGAACAAAGAGGTGACGGCGATAGGCCTGTAGTTGGACGGATCTGTGCACGAAAGCTGTCTTCCATGAATTCGGGACAACGCCTAGAAAGTAGGAGTACCGGAAAAGACGCGTTAGAACCGGTGCCAACTTTGAAGCATACGTCCTCAGCACAATTGGCGGGATCACGTCAGGCCCACTCGACGTGTGTGTGTCCAGGGAGAGGAATGCTTTGCGTACTGAGCACTGTGTGAATCGCACATCAAGCATAGAGCATGCACACTACGGATGGTCGGCGGTGTGTTTCCCCTGTCATCGAGAATCGAGTTGTACGCAAAAAGGGAGCGTAAAAGGTCGGCTTTCTCTTTTGCGGCGTGGGCCAGTGAGTCCTCCTCCCTGTGCAGAGATGGTAGTGATGGCTTACAGATATTCCCTTGAACAGCCTTAGCGAGAGACCAGAATGCACGGGTTCCCGAAGGAAGGCGGACTAATTTCTCGCCAATTGTGCCAATGTGCTCATACTTTGCCTTGACAATAACTCTTTTGAAGGACCTGAATATACTGAGGGGCTCAAAGTTAACATATTATTTATTTCTTTAAATTTTTCTCTAGCTTTGTTGCAGTACGAATGGGTCGACTCGACCGGGGAAGGACCACGCTCACACAAAATACCAGCATGAAATAGCAGTTTAATGCTGCTGTTTCGTATGGTCAGCGTAGAGAACCGGAGACCCTTTTTACTGGAAAAGAGGCATTACATCTCAGTCCTCACGGCTGACAACGCATCTGCATTTTGATTCGTAATGAAGGATAGATGTATATGTCTATGGGCCATAGCGACCACTTACCATCAAGTGGACTGTGTGCTCGCTTGTCACCCTTCGCTTGTTACTTTTCAACCGGAGACCCTTTTTACTGGAAACTATGCATTCCATTTTAGTTCTCAGAATTAATTGTTCCGGATCTGGATGTTTGTACTTGTGAAATTTATATAATATGTAAACTGCCCCCACGATACAGGACAAAATCTTTTTTCCATTTTTATGATATGCCAAAACTATTTTATAGCTTCTGATAGATGGCGGTATATCCATCTTATTTACGCCAAGCGTAAAATACCCAGAAAGGTGAGGGACAACAGTGTCAAAGGCGCGTAACGATCGTCAATTTTCGCTATTATAAAGGTAATCTGTTTAAAAAAAAGAAAATTAGCCTCGTAAAATATATAAATAATAAATAAATAATATAAATTTCACAAGGACAAACATCCAGATCCGGAACAATTATTTGTAGACCATACTAAGGCTAGTCTCCGATGAGATGGCCGCCGTGACAGAAATTTGGTCTGGAGTACACGATTTATTTTGCACACCACAAACGCAGTGGAGATGTTGGGTTTTACTGACGACTTGACAACGTCACGCTACACGCTCTCATTAATTTTAGTGCTGTCAGTTCAGTCCCTTTTTATTTTTATTTTTTAAATAATTTACTTGTTAATAAACTATATTGGTAATCTTGCGCCAATATTTCAAAGTACATTGATATAAAGATTTGTGCCACATAGCAAATTCTTAGTCGTCATCTATTTGCTAGTTACTACCGGCTAACCAGAGGACGTCTCCCATTACATTTGACATGGATATTCCATATGACACATACATAACGATCTCCTAGGTTTTTCCTTCATTCAATTGTATTGCACGCCTTATAACACGAAGCGTTATTAGTTAATGCTTTATTCTGGACACGTCAAGGTCAAGCAATTATGTGTTCTTAAAATGCCTCTATCATAACCATATTGTACGGTAATATGAGTAGCCGTATATCAAGAAAGCACTCTAATTAATCCATCTTATATTTTCTAAAAAATTGTTTGAAAAAAAAATTACGTGGTTGATTTTGTATACGAGTATGGTCACGATATCTCTCGAAAAAATTGGCGTATCGAGACCGGGGTATTTTTTTATTAGCTTAAGTATTACATAATCTGGTTTCCTATTTCATATCGATAGCCTAGTTAGTACACGTAGTTTGTTAATAAAATGATTTTCAACTTTTATAAGTTTTATTGTAATTAAGAATTTAAAGGGGCTTTCATATTTTTTTAGCCCTTGATAGACATCGGACAAATGGACCATACAGCCTATATCGATTTCATATTTTGTGTAATCGATTTATTTTGGTAAAAATTATTAATTTTTTCCCTGTAGGTGCCACTACCTGTTAAAATAATAGAGCGCTAAATTTAAAACACGTAAATAATATATTATAAAAGTCAGGAATACGATTTCTTTTTTACAAATTAAATGAAACACTCATGAGGCGCGCACTTTTGGATTTTCCAAACTATTTTTCTGTGCTCAGTGAAGTGCTGTGTATCATGTAACTTAGTTGTTTATTTAGGTTTATATTTATTTCGACTATACAAGAGATCACCCTGATAATTTATCCACAAAAGTATCCGTTGTCGCAGAGTCATTGGCTTTAAACACAGTTGAGCTAAAAGGTAATTAGCAAGATATATTAGGCAATTAAAATAAATATTTCAAACTTACCGCCATAGATAAAGATGTCAGCATTAATGCCTTTTTCCTTCCGAAATTATCAACGATAAAACCAAACAAGAAAACAGCCGGCGTTCCTACAAGGTACGGAACTGAAGCCATCCATGATATGACGTCAGGATGCACTGGCTTCGCAGCTGGGGTGTCTTCGGACATGAGTTTAGGTCCCATCGGGGAGAGCCATCCAACCGCTGTCCCGTAAGAGAAGACTGGAAGAACCACTGCGAACAAAATTGCATGTAAAACTCGGCAACCTATATATATCTTTGTAAAAATTTACCTAAGCTTTCCCTGTGCGATTTGTTAAGCTTTTTTTAATAATTATTATGTCTCAAATACCACGGTTCCCTTAGGATGTTTAGTGCAAAGTAGGTACAGCAATTTATATTTAAAAACCACCAAGGTGCTATGTGGAAGAGTCCATCGATTCATTCCTTTTTCGTAGGTATTGCAAAGTCAAGTTAGAGAATTCCCGGTATCCTAATCAATGACTGGTAAACAAACTGGTAGTTAAGTCCGCCGTAAGTCAACATTGAATAAGATTCAATAAAAATATCATAGTATAAAGGTTAATTAAAAACCCTTAGTTTGTTTAAAAGCTCTAGCATATGTATGTATCCATCTGATCAATTTTCTACCGACTTCAAAAAGGAGGAGGTACTCAATTCGACTGTATTTATTTTTGTTTTTTTTCTTTATGTGTGATGTGAGAGATACCTCATAACTTTTTTCTAGGTGAACCTATTTTGATGATTCTTTTTTTATTTGAAAGCTGGTGCTTCTCATGCAGTCCCATATAAATTTGATCAAAATCTCTGACGAGTGGTTTTTGACTTATCCTTAATAATTTATATATAAGTCGTTAGTGCAAAATTTTCAATTTTACCACTTGTAACAATTTCAAAATATTTGCAGAATAGAGATACTAACTAGTTCGGCAGACATTGTTCTTCTCTGATCGATAATTAGCTTGATAAGTATCACTACGAATTCACTCCGATCTTTCTAGTGTAAAATGTAAAAAAAAATTACAGCCTATATACATCCCACTCCTGGACTTAGATCCTGACATCCATTTTGAGCAACGACATCACCTGATTTGAGTTCAGGCGACGAGTGATTCTCGCGCTCAAAATGGATATTAGTGTCTTGTATATCGTGGGTAGACACGTGATGGGGCGGTATTTCCTCGCGTCTGTGGTATCCCGGTTTTTAGGAACCAAATGAGTGATCCCAGTAGTGAAGAGGCTCGGGAGCGACTTCTGGTCGAGAGCCTCTTGAAACTGTCGGGCAAGCACAAAGTGATACACCACGAACCCCTTCAGCCAGTAGTGATGCAGCCCGTCGAGCACTGGACTGATCAACCGTGCGAAGCTTCGGCGGATCGCTAGTTCTTCGATAAACTAGGTCTTAGTAAAGTAGTCGCAGAAGATGTCAAATATAAAATAATATAAAATGAGTAAGTATGAAAGGCTTACTGCAAAAAGAATAATATTAAAGAATGTATTTTTAAATGTCTTCATTACCTACATTGTTTCCAATTGATAAACATAGAAATATGACTCTGGATGTAGAACAATTAGTTCCAATTTTACTTCAACATGCCAATCGTTCCATATTAATTACAGAGTTCATTGTAAGTCAAGGGTATATTTTGCTGACGCATTTCTAGAAAGATCTCTTCAATCAGTGTACATACGCTCACACAAATACAGTATCATAGAGCACCTTCCTGTATACAAAAGAAAAGTTGAGCCATATGAAGAAAGTATTGGCTGCAACAGTGTCCATGGACTGCAGGTAGTCACCATCAGGTGAACTGTAAGTTCGTTTGTCACTTCAGTTTTGTGTTCGTTTTATAAAAAAAAAAAGTATTTCGTTGGCTTGTTTAGACCCCTTTATAGACGGACAGCCTTTTTGATGGAATCATTGGAATCGAGTAACTAGTATTACTAACTTGGGTGTTCTTTTCTCTTTTGTTTTTATTGTTCTTTCTAATTTGTTAGCAGACGTTTTATATGGTTACTATAGACTCATATTTTTATTATTGCAACTCTTGCAAACACCTTGGTAACTCCCACGGAACAGTACTGCCAGACTGCCCGTCAACATGTTTTAATTCCACTGAAACGGGTCAAAATAATAAACTTTTAATAAAAAGCAAACAACGACTTTAAAGAAATCAAACGAATAAAATGATTTCCATAAAATAGCTTCTGAAGTCGTGGATTTAAACGAGTACTTCTGTATACTATGTCTTAGCACCTTCACCTAGACTTCTGAAGTTGAAGGAAGGAAGTAATTTTTATGTATTTAGGTCTTTGAAGTCGGCTTTTACTTTTGTCATAAAAGTCTGTCCTTTTTCATAATTTTGTTTTACTTTGAATTTGTAAACAATAACAACTCCCTCGTATCAACGTTATATTCTACTTATTTTCGTGTACTTACTATACTTTCGTGTAATATTTTTAAGAGCGTTCGTTCAGACTTCAGAAAAATTTAGTTATGATCATACTTTAACGAGTGAGGAACAGCTGGTTAATGCAACGCATATCTGAAAGAAAGGAAAGGAAATGCAAACCTGAAAGTACTTTGGCCGCATCACCGCACGCTCCAATTTGAACTTACAATTTATTGACGCCGGTTTGTCTGGCGATGATTCCAGAAAATCATGACGTGCATTGTTGTGTTATTTATAGGATACTAATATAAGCGAACCAGTTCGATAATTTATAACGCTCAAAGTTCACCCTTCAGACGTATTGTCAACAATTTGCTATGGAATGTTGTTTTGTTGAAGATGTTAGCATTATATTATTGTGTGGATTGTTATTTTATTAGTATGTTATTAATTTGTATCATTATATTATTAATATATAAAAGAAAATATAAAGTTATTAAAAAACAGAATCTTATCAGTATACCTGACAGCATTCGTGATCTCAGAACTATCTGCACCAACGAGGAACGCCACCTAAAACTTGTTAACATGGAGAAAACCTCGAAGAAAGAGAAGCCTACGGAGAGTTTATGCTGTACTATTATAAATTATCGAAATCCCATGGTGGTCACCATCAGTCACCAGGGCTCTGGGATTTCTAAACCTTATCGGGGTCTTACCATCGCTTTGCGTACGTGGCGTCACGTCCTGAGGGTAAGTGTAGCTATCCCCGTCACCCTCGTATTGTAATTGCGATGATTTGGGGCAGCTTTGAAGTCATTTCTTCGAGCTCACATTACAGGGTTTTTGAAATCCTTATCCCAAATGCCCACAATTCCAGAGACCCCTATTAGGGGAAAACCATTATCATGGGGAAGGCCGAGACGGGTGGCGTTCTCTGTATGCAAGCCATAACTAATTTCAGTTACGAGGCTATGATACTGCTGATGTGTGGCACATGTATTCCAATTTTTTTTTGGTAACAGCCTAGATCACTCCTGGCACTGCTTTCTGCTATATATATATATATATATATATATATATATATATATATATATATATATATATATATTACAAACAAACACTTCCATTTTATTTATAAGTATAGATATAGATTAAAACACCTTTTAAAAATAAATAGTCCATGAATAAAAAGAGGGATACTGTATATAATGTTATATCTCAGTACACAGTTTTTTACACAGTATAAAACAAAGTCGTTTCCCGCCGTATGTGTACGCTTAAGCACTACGGATTTTGATGCAGTTTTCATGCATAATACATGCATATAATATATTATCAGTATTTCATGCCGGCACACCGCCTGCAACTTTACAATGCGCAGGTTCGGCCTCACATGGAATACTGTTCCCATCTCTGGGCAGGGGCTCTTCAGTGCTAGCTCCTTCCACTTGATTGCATCCAGCGCAGAGCGGTTTGAGTCGTCGACGACCGAGTTCTTTCCGATCGACTTGACTCATTGGCACTGCGTAGAGATGTTGCATCTCTTTGCGTATTTTATCGGATTTACCATGGGGTGTGCTCTAAGGAATTGTTCGGACTAATTCCAGCCGGTCAATTTCACCATCGCACATCGCGACAAAACTTGCGACACCATCCATACCACCTGGATGATTGGCGGTCCACCACTGTACTATTTAGAAGATGTTTTCTTCCTCGCACAATTTCCTTTTGGAATCGATCATCACCAGCGATTTTTCCGGACCGATACGACTTAAGGACCTTCATGAAAAGAGCCTGCTCCTTTTTAAAAGGCCGGCAACGCATCTGCAATTCCCCTGGTTCCCCTGGTGTTGCAGTTGTTCATGGGCGGCGGTAGTCACTTACCATCAGGTGAGCCGCATGCTCGTTTGCCCTCTTCTGTCCGTATTATTGTGACAGAACAGTAGTTTAGTTTAGTAGCACCTAAACGCCTGGACGGATTTTGATAAATTTTTTGTGTGATTAAGTTGATTAGAGAATGATTTAGATTCACAATTGGACCCGGTAGATGGTGTTGTTATCGAGATGTGAAGCCAGAACGGATCGCTAGTTACATCATACAAAATATACTTATAAAGTGAAAGAGAGATAGAAAATTGAATAAATCAGATGGTACTATTATTAAGATAGTCTTTTAACTATAATTATCAATGAACGCGTCTTTAATCTCTCGATTCGAGATACCCAGTGTAAAAAATATGTCGTTTAGCATATTTTAATCTTATAAAAATAGAATTCAACCAGACATATAGTAATTATCTGATCATCTTTTAAATATTGGGTGGCAGAATTAAAGCAACACACACACACACACACACACACACACACACACACACACACACACACACACACACACACACACACACACACACACACACACACATACACACACATTTGCATTGTAATGGGATGGAATGATAATTCTATGATGATTCCATAATTATCTTAATTATTTTTCTTCCTTCTAATTCCCTTAATTATTTTTCTTAAGAATTGTTATTTGATTTGTCTAATTTTTATGTTTATTTAGTAAAACGAAATTGATGTGGAAGAGTGAGACCTTCTGCTACAAATACTTATTTACTTACAAGAAGGTCTCAACATTATTATATAAATGTATTAATGAAATTAATAAACATATTATTATTATAAAAAGAAAACCCCAGTTCTTCTGCGAAATGAGAAACTGAATAAGAGTGAATGGGAATCAGTTTTCCAAAAAATAAAAATTACGCATGAATTTTATGTATGGTCGTGATGCTGTAGCCTTAGTCTGAG